GGTTTTCCGGATCGAAAATGGTCGTCGTTGCGTGCTTTTAGGTTAAGCGGAAATCATGATTGGGAAGTTTGATTGTTAGATTCTTTCCGAACCGGGATGGTCGGTCAATGCGCGCGTTTCAGTTTGATACTCTCTCGCATGGTGAACGGCATCCCTCCCAAGGCGAAGGTCACGATCGGAGACTTCGGTTGGTCTTTTAATTATGGCGTGGGTTTCTGCAACTGCACTCGGGGTATGCTTTTGCTTGCCCGGGGCGATGAAAAGCATCCCCCCAGCAGCGGGATTTATCTTCGGTTGTTGCGCTTGGTGGGTAGCTTTTGACCCGGAGTGCTGTGATTGGTCTCGGGGGATGCTCTTGAGTGGAGGGGAGAAGTCAGGACAACCCGAGAGGCGAGGATCTGACTTCAGTGTGCGGTTGAGTTCTAACCCAGTGTTTAGGCGCTGCGGTGTGGCGGTTCTCATCTTTCCAGGAAGCGAACTGTTAAATCAGTACGTTGAGAGTAGGTTCGCCCCGGTTTAGTAGTAAGCCTCGGATGACTTTGCCACGCTATTCGACAGGCGGTGATTCTTCTTGGTCAGTGCGGCAGGCGGCTGAGTTTGTCCTGAAAGGTGCTGATATGACTACACCTGCGCACTTGCCAGGTCTTATGCTGATCGTTGACTTCGACCCGGGAGCAATCAGCCTGTGTTCCTAACTCCAGTAATGGCGAATTGTGATAACCAGGGTCTACCGTCTATCTCCTGTTTGTAGCTAGTTTGAAAGTTGAAGTTGTTGTCTGCAGACATCCGTGACGTCGACGGTCCCCGACGGGACAGCGTCGTGGAGAAGGTCAAGGCCGCAACGGAGGAGATTGCGGAGCGGCGGAAAGTGGGGCACACCTTCACCATCGGAAACCAGGTACCTTTCGCCTCCGCCTCGACAGGTTGAGGTCCTCGATTGCTGTCATGCGGGAAAGAGCGCCTCGTCGAGGCCGAACTTCCTGGAAATCTGCCGTTGACGTTTCGGTGTTCGACAAACCAGGTTTTGTGAACTATTCTCCGCTGCTGCCGAAGATCTTCCCCGAGACCCGGCCTCTGTTTTCTGTTTGGTCACAGCTTTCCTATGTCGTGTGATGCTTCTTCGTCCAACCGACAGTGTATCGTTTGCCGCAAAACTCTCAGGTTCGATCTGGGTCTGTGACGTCTGGATATCAGAAGTCTTTCTGTGGTTTAGGATTCCGGCTCTGTCTGGTGAGTTCCCGAGGTCGCCATCCTCCTTTGCTTTGCTTACACCTTTCAATTCGGTTTTCGACTTTCTTCTTACATCCCCGAAGCTCCCTTTTGCTCCAGGACCCTCCACCACTTCCGCGACCTTTTCTGGCGTTCTAAACACCGCCTTTTGAGTTGCGTCTTCACATCGCCGTAAGCTCGTTCTGATCCTAAACCCTACAGCTCGTCAACCTTTGATCAGGGCCCCCCCGCCACTTCCGGCGACCTTCTCTGGCGTTGCAAAGGCCTCCTCGTAATTGCGTCTTCTTGCCGTCAAATCATCTCTGATCCTTACTCCCTAAAACCCTGAATCCCTTTTAATCAGGATCCCCCCGCCACTTCCGGCGACCGCGTGCTCAAGGCGGCGGTCGAGGCGACGGAGCAGCTGCGGCTGCGCTACAAGATGATGCCTAGCCGCGCGTACCACGACTCGCTCTTCATGGCGCGGGTCGCTCCCACGGCCATGGTCTTTATCCCCTGCTTCAAGGGTGAGTCAAAAACGTTGGGGACTACTGTTGAAAGACTCGCTCTGCTTTCTGTAAAAGGCGGGCTCATATTGCTTACGGCGCGGATCGCTCCCACGGCCATGGTCTTCGTCCCCTGCTTTAAGGGTGAGTCAAAAACGTTAGGGACGGTTGTGAAGGACTCGCTTTGGAATCTGTGAAAGGCGGGCTTGCATCGCACCTTATGACGCGAATTGCGCCCACGGCCGTGGTTTTCGTCCCCTGCTTCAAGGGTGAGAGCGAAAGTCGTGACGAATTGTGGAACACTTTCGTAGAAGGCGGGCTCGCATTGCTCTTACGTCAGAAGGCGTGCTGGCTGTTCGGCGTCGGTGCTTGCTCTTGGATAATTAAGGCCTGCTTGTTTCTAGACAGGAGCTGTTTACTTTCCTTGTGCTGTCGAGGGGGTTTCCGTTTGGGCGGGCAGCTTGTGATAGCGTTCAGACGCAATCGAGAAGAAGGTCCTTCCCAAGAAGCTGGTGAGGATGGACTCGGCAACTATTTGCTGCGGCCGTGACGTTACTGAGTCCCTCTGGGCCCCACATGAGGAGAGTGCTTATCTCAACCGTACTATTAGGTATAACCAGAAACGCTGAACAGAGCCAGTTGATACATGACCGCTGCGATCCGTCTGAGAAGATACTGGTAGCTCCCATTTCACGTAAGAGACATTTTACTTAAGTTCCGAGCTACCCGGGCAAACAAACTAGAAACCCTAACCGACAAAATCACCCGCTCCGCACCCGAACCCACCCTAACCACCATACAACCCTACCCGTCTCCCAGGCGCCTATCCTAAGTGAAATGGCTCTAAAGTGAAATGTGAGTTACCAAAGTTCTGAGAAGGAACACGATGGCTGTGATACTCACAAGAGCAAGGTACCGCTCGTCATGACGAAGCCTTGGATCCTTGTACAGCATCAGTGGAGTTTGGAGTTTCAGCTACTTTGATTTTCTCGTGCGTCGGGAACGCTACCCTAGCCAGCTTGGACGACTCTTACACGTCAACATTCCGCTAAGCAGCTCACTAGTCAGACACTCGCGCCTGATATGTTGAAGCATCAGCTTTCATGTCGAGTATTGTAGCCTCTAATTGGCAATAATCTTCACAATTTAATGCCCCACTCCGCAGGTTACAGCCACCGTCCGGACGAGTTCGCGTCCAAAGCGGACATGGAGAACGGAGTGCGGGTGTTGGCGCTTACGCTTGCAAAGCTGTCGGTCGGCCCAAAGACGGACTGCTGTCACTGAGGGCGTAACCAAAAAACATGACGTCAAGTATCTAATTGTGGGGGCGTTCAGATTGATGCCGGAGAAACACCTGTTGGCCATAGTTGCAATTGCGTGTGTTGATTGCGCTCGTAAGAAACTGGCAGATACACAGGATTTGGTATTCGTTATCAGCAGCATATATTCGTAAACTGGTCAGTAGGATAGTCTGCCGTACAATCAGAATTGTTGTGTATTAATAGTTGGAGACCAAACACAGATAGGAGTAGCGCGGCTAGATAGCTCGTATCATAATGTTGATAAAAGCTGATTGTTATACGACCTGCCTTTCAAAACCTGATTGAAATTGATTACGTGCACTGCATGGCTGTAGGTTCAGTCAGCCCCGAATACCGTACGTACACTAGCAGGACGCGTACTCGGTGCATTTTGCAACGCTTGGCGCAAGCGTTGTCTCAGTAATCCTACCAACGAGGCCCGTCGCATGAAGTTTGCGATAGTACCTATTGACCCGTCGGTCGGACGGCCTGGCCTGCCGCAGCCTCGAGCTGGTTTACCAAGATAGATATATTGGCCATGCCTCATGGCCGCGTGTAGTGCATGAGTTAGCGCGGCGATCGGGGCCCTAGTCTGAAGTTTGGCCTCGATCCAATCTTGAATCTATAAGTTAACTAGGCTCCGACATTCGCGAGCTATTTTTTCCGTTTGATCATGATCACGTACCGTCCGGTCATGAATATATATGACCCGGCCATGGCTTTTGATCGACGTTCACCATCACATAGCATGTGCCATGACTGATCACGTGCAAGATCCCGCAAAGCGCGCGCGGCGGCGGCGCCAATTTATGTTCAAATTGGCTTGCATGCCTAGCTAAGTTCCCGACTGGAAGTAGGGCGCAACCACACATGATGTATATCCGACGGGCTTCAATATGCCGCTGTATACGGCGCGCCTGCCGCGGCGCGGGCCCGCTCAAATTGACCTGCGCCGCGTGCGCTCGGGTTGGCTCCGACGGGCGTTAAATGACCTCAGGCTAGCGTGCGACTCCATGAAAAATGGCATGTTGACGGTGCAAGATTTTGTCACCATGAACGCGCACCGGGCAGCACGCACAAGATGACGACGAACATGAACGTCCGCTTGTCGTAGTGCAGAAGATGCATTAATCGAAGGCACAGGTCAGCCATAGCGTTTTGAGCTCATGTAAACACTTGTGTGGTCAAACAGGCGCCGCCCACTGAGGGCCTACCGGCTCCGTGCCCACACAGGGTGCGCGCACATGCAATCTCTAGCGTAGACTATCGCAGTCACTTTCAACGCAACACGATAAAAGTTCAAAACCTGAGATTTCCGAAACCCGTATAAACCCCCGGACTGACCGAAACCTGTCGTCGTTCAGTCTCGATCGAAGAATGTAACTAAACAATGCCCGGATCCCGGTTGTTGTCCTTATAGATAAGGTAACGGCTCCTCGTAGACCCTAGTGCCCCATACCTGCAATTGAAAGACGCAAAAGTTACACACCTTATATGGAGGTTTGACTTGATCCCAAAGTCAAACTCAGTCGGCTCTGACTTGAGCAGCTTCACCGAGGCCGTTAACCGCTTACGATCGGAAGCGGCCATAGCCAATGGCTCATAGGAAATTTAGATTATGCAAACAAAGCCCATCCACATCAGAAGAGTCAACCCAGCAGATGAGGTCTTCATTTCCCATTGTCAAGGTTTTTATGAATCTGAAAAGGATTTGAAGAGGACCAAGAAGCCTCGAAGGCGAAGTCCGTCCTGTTTATTGGGACGGGTGGAGCGGCACGTCAAAACTAGTTCGGCCGAGCTGCGTGCTTAGCAGGACCGACGTGATCTCAGGTAGCGTTCTCAAGAATGCGAAGTATAAACTACGACGCATTCAACTCGACCCGAAAGTCAACGTGCACTCCATTCCACGGCTGCATTGGGGCTGGACTTGAGCAACAATGACTTGTCAAAACGCATTGGTACGAATGAAGCTCGGGTGACGGTGAATGTAAAGCTTACCATTGGGGCACGAACGGCGCCATCCAGATCGCGTCCCCGGCTTGGACCGGGTACCTGCACGGGCACGGGCTCAGGAGCTTAGAGCGTGAAGAACGTCGAAGCGGAGTCCTGTTTAGGTACTGGTTAGGTTCGCGCGAAACCTGTTACCATTTCGCTGAACAACTATCTGACCGTCCATCTTATGCAAGGCGACCGGACCGTCGAGCAGTGAGGTTTGACGCGCAGAGGTAACTGGGGCTGATGACACGTCGAACAAGTCATGCGTTATCAGCATTGGCTGACACGTGGTCGCACGAGGCACGCCGTTGGCCACGCTGCCACAAGGGTGCTTCACTTTTGTTTGAGACCTTGATTTGACAAAAGAGATCTGCTGGAAACGGGGCCTGACAGGTCGGGATGTACGGACGCCCGAAAATCCGTGCGGCCCGCCATTTCATTCAGAATTACAGTACTGCAAAAGCAAAATTTGATCCGGACGAGTGGTTGTGTTGCGATCGAAGCTTCATGCAGTCTCGGATGCATGAGACGAAGCGTCCGCAACAGTATTTGGGAACGGTTGACAGATACGGTCTGTCGAAAACGCTGACGAACATTCAACAGCTCACGGCTTGTCGAAAAGCGTTGTTTGAAAAGTCAGAGGCTCGTCACTCGTCGACAATCAAGGTCCGGATGAGCACTCCATGTACTTTCAACCACTTACCATTCCGTGATTCGTAACCGATTCACCAGCTAGGATTTATCAAACGATCGGTCTGCTTAGGTTGATCAGCGAGATTCAATCCAGCATTGAGGACACAACGACAGCCGTAGATGTGCCCTCTCGAAGCAGCACCTGGAGTCATCGGACGGTCAGAGGCTCACCACTTGTCAGCGAGGCGGTAGATCCCCTGGCCCTCCAGGAGCAGCAGCCCGTGCTGATTGTAGTGAACCTCCTTCACATTCAGGAACTCGCCCGGCTGGAAGTCCATGACCTGCACACAAATGGACGAATTTGCAATGTTGTGCAGATATCAGGAGGGCGCACGCGGGGGGGGCAACAATAGTGGAGCTCCTTCACGTTCAGAAACTCGCCCGGCTGGAAGTCCATGACCTGCACACGAAGGGGGGGGTTTGGAAGACTGTACACATACTAGGAGGGCGCACGCGGGGGGGCAACAATAGGGCACCTCCTTCACGTTCAGAAACTCGCCCGGCTGGAAGTTCGTGACCTGCACACCGAGGGGGGGGATTTGGAGGACTGTACACATACTAGGAGAGCGCACGCGGGGGGGTAAACAATAGTGCACCTATTTTGACCGTTAGGAACTTGCGCGGCTGGAAGTCCATGACCTGCACACGAACGAAGAGGTCAGCCCGTTTGTACATATATTTGGGGGCCAGGGAGGGACGTAGAGCACTTTCTTCATGTACAAAAACGGGCCCGGTTGGAAGTCCGAGGCATGGCATGTCTGTACAAGAATTTGGCAACTTAATGATACTGCACAAAAACGGGGGCCCTGTTGGGCCTCGGAGAAAGTTAGAAAGCGCACTTCAGTCACGACGACAGACTCGGCCTCGGGGGGGGCAATTTCCCGCAATCAGAGGCCACTCCAAAGGGTGGATGAGTGAAAGGTTTTGCTGACGAGTGTTGGGGCCACAGCGCATTGATAAACTGGGAAAGAGGTTTGATGGGGAGCAATGAAGACAGCTTCGACATCCTTCTATGCGCTGCTTGCAGGAAGGAATCCGCGAACCCGTTCGTCGGGTAGACTCGGAGTGGCCATTCCCGGTCGCCCTTTCTACTCCGTAGTGGTCCGGAAGATGACGAAGGTCGCGTCCCGACCAGATTAGATCACATCATCCGGGGTGGGACTGACAACGGCACGACATCAACCTTGAGAAAAAGGGCGACGTCAACAAGAAAAGAGAAAACGACTCGCACAACGAGTCGCTAAAACATGGTCGCCCGTTTGTGGCACGAGCAAACAGTGAGCCCTTTGAGATCCTCCCGTGTGCAGTATAAGGGTGTAAATTCACTGCTCCATTGTCCGTATCAGAGGCATTGGAGTCGCCATGAAACAGAGAGAGAGCGCGCGACAAGGGCGACCGAGCTGTCATGCCGCAAGTTGCGGCCCTCAAAACGCTCAGATCAATAACCAGAGAAGAGGCAAGGAACGGCGGAGCAGGCTCAGAGGACCAAAGCGGATGGGCAAGGACAGCACTTGCTTTATCCGGGGAGAGTGTACCAGATCCTCCAATGGATGCTCTACCAAAGTACGGAATAATGGGGCTCGGCACAGCGGAGACGGCTAGGAGGACATTCTCCGCAACAGGACCCGCAAGCAGTAAAGTGGTTAAAACTCAAAAGATGTCTCATGAGTGTCCAGACTATATACAGTGTGACTCAGAAACACCAGACGATATCGAGAGATCGAATCATATCAAATAGAGGTGCAGAACAACGAAAGCGGAAGAAGGGCAGAGCTTGGAGTCGGCATCGTCAAAGGACAAAGAAATTGAGGAGAAGACAGGCCGAAAGTTGAGGAGGCTTACGTGGATGTTGAAGTCGTACTGGAGCGTCATGGGGATGAGCTTGCGTAGTGCGAACACCTCCCCCGGAACGGGAAGCACCGGCTGCGCATCGACGACCCCGGCAAAAAACTCCGGCTCCAGCTTGAGCGCGTGCTCCTCCGGGGAGAACGTGTGCCTGCGTTGGTTGAGAAGGAAGGGTTTGCCCCGGAACCGAAAGTTTGGACACGTGCCCAAAGTTTTGAAGTGTTTGACGAGAAGTTCCGGATTCGATATGCTGATCAACGTGCGTATGCAGCTTTTAAAAGGACCCCGTGCTCCAACGCTTTTAAGGGGGGGAGACGTGCGCCTGCATCTTGGGGGGGTACATGCAGCCCTCCAGTCCTGTAGAAGGGGGCTAACACCACGTTGACGTGCATGTTGAGCAGTCTTTGTGAAGTTTTAACACACTCGCAGTATGCGGCTCTTCCAGCTCGGCCAGAACCATCGTCCTTACGAGAACCAGCACAGATACATAAGAATCAGAGAATCCTCAGGATCGAAGTGCGGGAAAGACAGCGGACTTTAGCGGGAGTGGGCATCTGCCGCTGACCTCTTTTCGATGATCACCAGGAGGGCCCCTTCCTTCGAGGTGATCTTGCTTTCGAGAAGAGAAGGGGCGTAGAAGAAGCCGCCCTTGGCCACCTTCTTGCTCTTCTTTCCCTTGATGCCGGTGCTGACCGCCCCCTCGATGACATACCCAAAACGCTGTGCCCCTGTAGTTACGACCAAGCAGCAGAGCTTTGTCCGGGATGCTCGTTGGAGTTGGCAATGATGGTTTGTTAGCGATCGTGGGGATGATCGAGAAGTCACTATGCAACTCCTGATGAAGAATGCACGGCGCACGTGCACCCGAGCATTTGGCAATGATTGGGGGAAATGACCTGAAAATGTCGGCTGCTTGTGGGGAGCGTCGGAGACTGGCAAGCGCCCCCAATTTTCAGCTCAAAATTGCTGGGTAAGAGAGCCCAAAATGGAGTTCATGGAACCGTTGAAGTATGGATTAGACGCATTCCCCCTAACATTTCACCAAAGCCATTCAAGCGGCCAATCTGGACATAGTAAAAGCGCAAGTGGGAGGAACTGACGTCAGATGTCAATGAGCATGGTCAGGGCTGATGGAGGCCTCGCTGGGTCCAAAATAGGCCCAAGACTTATGCGGAAGGGCGGTGCTATCGGGTGTTGGCGGTGAGAGGGCCAGGTTTGATAAGCGGGGCATCATTTGACATGAGGTCCTTTTGAAGCCAGGAGAAGATCCAGAAGGCCGATTCTATTGTCTGAATCTCCCTTGTCACTGTATGTGTCATGGCCCTCGCTTCGAATTGTAGATCTCTTCAATCAAAGCAGGATTCTGTAGTATTATGCAAGTCTAGTAGTTACATGACAAGCGACATCTCTGACACTCTCTCATAATTATGAACTCACCGGAGGGGGCCGATGGAATAGTAGCATTGGCCTTCAAGTCCGCAAGCGACATCACAAACTGTGCCCCCATGGCGGGAGTGATGATGATTGCAGCGAGAGCATTCTCCCATCCAGGGGGGGTAAACCACACCCGGCTCTCAGGGGTGATCAGCGCATGGTCCTTCTCTACGTGGCTGCGAGTGAAACCCGGTAAACCTGCAGGGTTCAAGATTGAGGTTACTGAGTCGTTTTGTCACAATATAAGACACAGTTCATTGTGAAAGCATTGTCTTCAAAATGTTATCTGTTAGCAACGAATGATGTCTGCCAAAAAGTCTTTGCACAAGAGCATGGTGAAACAAAGATGAATTCAATGAGATTCTTGATGAGTCCAGATTGGCAGACCACGAGTCAAGAATAACCGGCCGCAAATGACAAACAGATACTTTTAGACAATCTGAAGTGATAGACTGAATTTTTTTCTCGCTAAGAGATCCGCTCCTTTCAGATGGGGCAGAAGACCAGCATTTGCCAGCACTACTGACAACTCAACTCGTCCATGAAAAAGGCTCATAAGTGAGACAGCTTGGTGACTGCAACCATCCGCACTCTGAGGTTCCTTCAATGTTCCTTCAATGAATTAAAATAGCTCGTCAGAATCGAGGATTGCCGGAAGGACTGCCACAAACATTTGTTGAGATAGAAAGGTACACATTGATGCCTGTTGTGATGGAAATCACCAGTCTACCGCAAGACTTTCCAAAGCCTGACTGGCAAGCTTAGAGACGCAGCAGCACAACCAACTGACCTAGGAGGAAGTCTTCTCCACCAGGCGCTGAGCTGGCCCCGAAGTTCTTGGTGGGGGGCTGGAATTGCAGGGGCACCGAGCCCCCTGCATCTGCATTGCACGTTTCTGCAGACTGGCTTTTGGACACCGAAGTGATTAGGAGTAGCGCCACCAATGTGATGGTGACCGCCATTAGTACTTATCACCCCCAGCGAATGCTGCAGAAATAGCTCAAAACAACCAAAATCCCATTGGAAGTCGAGGATATCAACAGTTTGCCAGTGGAAATTGGAGGATAAAACTTGAAACAGGATGAAGCCGAACGAAACCCTAAAAGTTTACAGTATTATACAGTCCACATTCGTGCAATTGAGGAAAGAGCGGGGGGGCCCGGGGGGACGGCAGCGCCCCCCTATTTTGAGTGTAAACTGAAGGGCGGGGAATTACACCGGGCGCTGCAGTCATACTACTGTATGATAGCCCTATAGGGATTTAGGGTTCCCCATGGGGAAGAGGTTGCTCAGAGTCAAAGCCGAACTCTTCGCATTGCAGGCTCACCTGCTGCAGTGATTGGTCAGTTGGACGCTCGCTTCTGAATCTAGAGAAGAGCACTAAATTTAATCGGGACGCAGAAGATAGATTGGAAGGTTTCTCAGAATTGGCGGAACCGGGCTCTGCAAGAAGGATCGTTGACAGCTCTCGTCGTGCTTCAAAGATGACAGGGGTTGACGGAGCGAAGTCTGCACAGTAAGTCTTGCTGTCAGGATCTCTCCTAAGTTTGAAGGGATTGCATTGTTTATTCTGTTGTAAGTATATCGTTTTATGGTGGTTTCTTCGTATTGTCAATGCCCATATGCTCACACATGGAAAGATGGTGGACTCTTTGGATTGTCCATTGGCAAGATGCTTTCTCAAGCGACAATTTCCAGGAAGCTTCACTGTGAAGTTTTCCAGAATCTTCACTGTACCTGATTCTCTTTCCAAATTGCTGCAAGAGGAAAAATCTCTTACTTGCTGTTAACCAATTTCAAGTGTAAGCTTCGCCTTTTATGCAAGCAAGTTGGATAACTTCCCATGATGCTCTTTCTGCTTCTGTTTCCCTTCAACGGTATGATCATGGATCTTGCAAATTTTCAGGCAAACTCTAAAATGTCATCCTTTTCACAAAGCTGCGTTACGGATCAAAGTTCAATAGAAGCATTTGTGCCGTTGCTTTCTGTGGAGCCTTGCGCCTATGCCAGGGCCCTCTATTGATGCTGAGGATCTGTAACGATCAATGAGTCAGCTCTCACAGTAATCGTACTTTACAAGTCCAAAACATTGGCTGAAGAGGTTTCTTATGCATTGCAAAGAGCTTGACAGATTCATCTCAGCCTTCATTTTTACTCCATTATGCACGAGCGCTTGCACCAAAAAGCTCCAGAACAGAATTGGCCTGTTTGAGAAGCAAGCGATCTAGTTGAAAATAAAAGGGAGCACTGGATCCTTCGGTTTTCTCGGCTGTAGAGGGCCCCTGCGCATCATCATTGCATGAGCTTTAAAGCAGCACCTCATCCTCTACCTTCAAGAAGCTAGATCACACTGCCTGATGGGAGCAGCTGCAAGTCCAGCTTCTGTCCCCTAAACCTGTCAGATCAGCTTCTTCCACTGCAGCATACGTGTCTGTTCCTCTATATTCGTCTGAGTCCCTCAGCCATGGAGTCTGCCAATGTGTTGCCAATCCTGTAAGCGCTGTGGAGAGGCTCAGTCTTTGCACTGACCTTGTCTGTCACACACATCCATTGTGATTTTGATGCAGGCCTATCGCCAAGGATGCCAAGATCTATGTCGCTGGCCACCGGGGCCTTGTGGGGGCGGCCATTGTCAGGAGGCTGCAACAGGAGGGGTACAATAATCTGGTCATGAAGACGCACAAGGAGCTCGACCTGAAGCGGCAGGCGGACGTTGAGGCTTTTTTTGAGGCGGAGAAGCCGGCTGTGGTTGTGATCGCTGCGGCGAAAGTAGGGGGTAAGCGTGGCTGCGAGCAAGAATCCTCCTGGAATTGGTTTTACAGGGAGTGACTGGAGGACATATTCAGGACTGAAGTGACGGTGGAAATGAGGATTGATCAGCGGAAAAATGGTCAAGTTCCGGAGGGTGGATCCAAGCAACAAGTCTGTCAAGCCAGCTCAGAATCTGAAGGATGTCAAGCCATGAACTTTTGGCTCCTATCAGTGCGTCAATACTGTGTTACATCAGAGAAGTGTTGTAGTCATATCAACAGGTCTCAGCTGCAAAAGGCCTTCACTCTCGATGAATATCAATGGAGGCAAGCCCATTGACCAGTCAACTTAGTAACTCCGCTTTCCGCCCTGCAGGGATCCTTGCGAACAGCACATACCCTGCTGACTTCATTGCTGACAACATCATGATCCAGACCAACTTGATCGACAGCGCCTACAAGTGAGTCACCGGACGTTTTTCAGCAGGATTGATTTGATTGTCCTGGAAGTCGCAGAAGTGGGTTTCAGAGCCCTAGCCCTTGGCGGTGGAGCAATTCTCTGAGATGATCGATTACGAGAATTGTGCTCCGGGTATCAGAGAACTGAAGATTGATCTTCCTCTGGAGGCCAAGAGAGCTGGAGTAAGAGTCCCACTTAATTACTGAATTTGAACATACGCAATGCCTGGTGTTTGACAAGGTCTCTCAATCTCAAGACAACCTACACACCAAGGTAGTTGCCGGATCGAGGTTTTGAGCCAGCTGGAAAAGCTGATGCAGCGAACATAGCAGCACCTACGGAATCAGTGCAGAATCCGGGACTTCTTTCCGCGCACGCCAGATACTGTTCTATCATGTGGCCAACTTTTCTCCAAACGAAACTGGAAGGGGAATGGCGAGGAGCAGAATATCAACACTATCGACTTTTGTGCTACAGGAGCGGTGTCAAGAAGCTGCTCTTCCTTGGCTCCTCGTGCATCTACCCAAAGTTCGCCCCCCAGCCAATCAAGGAGGACGCTCTCCTGACCTCCCCCTTAGAGCCAACGAACGAGTGGTATGCGATCGCAAAGATTGCGGGGATCAAGATGTGCCAGGCATACCGCATCCAGTATGGCTTTGACGCCATCTCAGGTGGGTTGACCAGCCTTTACTAGGTTGTTATGGGACTCTAACCTGGTTTTGTGTCAGTGTTCACCACATTTTGTCCAAGTGTTACGCCAGTTGTCAGTATGAACACGTCCTGGCACACCAGACAAAGAAAAAGTGCAACCTTCTTGCCGTCGCAATCAGGCAAACCAGTTCCCGGTACGTTTCGACTGCAGGGCTTACTTGTGACTGCAAAGGTGTTCTGTCGGAAGTAGATAGCACCATCTTTGACAAGTATACCCGTAGATTCATTAGAAGAGGTTTCTGAGAAAGTTGATGGTGTCATTATACACGGAATGGCAGTGGACTTACGGGGCCTGCGGAGCCACGTTCAAGTCTGTAGTGCAGTGTAACGTCCAGTCATTCGGTCACACTAGCTTGTTTCAGCGTACCAGCTTGCAAGGTTCTCCACAATTCGTTCCAGCTCGCTCTGTAAGCGGAGAGCGTTCATGAATCACAAGTCTTAAGTTGCGTTTAGAAGCAAGGCGACTGGATCCTTGTTCCCTCAGAAGCAGGCCTCCGTTTGGCCCTTAAAATGGAGGTCAAAAGAGATTCTACAAGGGGTCGTTGACGACGAAAAGGCTTCGTCAATCCTGGGTGATCGAACTCATGAAAGAATCTTCATTCGTTGTCAAACCCGTGGCTCTGCGCTGGCATGCCCACCGACAATCACGTTCCTCTTGACATTCTTTCACGCCAGCAGGTTGGTCCTTCAGGCAAAGCACTGGAGTTGTGCGAAAGCGCGCCGACCAATCAGGGCGGTCAGCAAGTCCGAAACTCGACTCACTCCCCAACCCTGCGCAGGGATGCCCCCCAACCTGTACGGCCCTAACATCGGGTGTTTAGCAGATTCAAAACTTACCAAAGTCCGAACCCTGCGCAGGAATGCCCACCAAGCTATACGGCCCCACGAACAACTCTCAGCATGGCAACAGGGTCACTTAGTTCTTCGAGACAGAGCACGGAAACTCGCCGAAGGCATGGCGGTCAGCCCGAGTAGTCAGCAAACCCGAATCCTGACTTGATATTGTATCCTGCGCAGGCATGCCCACCAACTTGTACGGCACTCACGACAAATCTTGTCCTCGCAACATGGTCCCTTGACTCTTCGAGATAGAGCACCAAAAATCGCCAAAGGCATGCCGGTCAGCCCGGGTAGTCAGCGAATCCTGACTCGAAAACCTACCCTGCGCAGGCATGCCCACCAACCTGTACGGTCCCCACGACAACTCTCAATCACGGCAACATGGTCATTTAGCTAACCTCACCGAAACCCGCCGAAGGCATGGTGGTCAGCCCGGGTAGACAGCAAACCCGAATCCTAACCCAAAATCTGTATCCTGCACAGGCATGCCCACCAACCTGTACGGCCCCCACGACAACTTCCACCCCACCAACTCCCACGTCCTCCCCGCGCTCATCCGGCGCTTCCACGAGGCCAAGCGCGACGGGCTCAAGGAGGTCGTCTGCTGGGGGACCGGGTCCCCGCTGCGCGAGTTCCTGCATGTGGATGACCTGGCGGACGCGACGGTGTTCCTGCTCAACAACTACAGCGACTTGGAGCACGTCAACATGGGCAGCGGCTCCGAAGTTACCATCAAGGTACGTGTCCGGTTTTGCGTCTTGGCTTCCGGAGTGTGGCTTTGGTTTGGGGGTCCGGTTCGGGGTGTGGGGTGCAGGGAGCGGTTGGCTGGGATCGGGAGTGGAGATCCGGGGATTTGGAGTCTCAAGAGCGACCGAGGATTCAATATGCAATCTGGGCGTGGATCTGGGGTTTGTGCTTCTCGGCGTGTCGACCTTTGGCCCACTTGAGTGTTTCATGCTGACTGGCAGTCCTTGGTTTCGGTGCTCGAGTATGGGCTTTTCTCAACTCGTGTTGTCGGAAGAAGTCCCACGTGACGCCGTGGTCCAGCTAGGGAAGCGGGAGTTTCAAGCTGGGGTTTCGCGGGCTTGGTCGGGCCTTTTAGTCCGGGTGCAAGCGAAAATGCTGGATCAATACTTAGTCCGGGCTTCTTTGCGGCTCTCCTTTATTTTGGAGAGTACTTGGAGTCCGCTTTCGAGTTTCACTTACCCAACTTTGAGCCTCAAGGTATGAGTATTCCGACGTGCGGATCTGGGATTGCCATGTCATCGGACCTTGTATTTAAATCCTGGGTCCGGGGACGGCATTAATTAATGTTCTCAGAGATTGGTCTAAGGTGGCGCTTAATACCATGCGCTTCATCCGTGTTTTGAGACTCGAAACCGGGAACGGGCTAGTATCCCCATGCATTCCCCTGGTCGCGGGGGCACAAAATTTGAACGAATCATCCCCCGTGAAGCCCTTGCTTGGAAGCTCACATCAAGCTCTGGCTCTAGATAAATGGAGACGTTCGAGTCAACCAGCAATCAAGTAATCCTGAGAAACTCTGCTATGAACAATTGAGCGGAAAGGTCGGCACTGGTGCTATTTTGTCTGCCAGCTGTTTGGATGGCCGATTTTGCTCTGGTTCTCGATTTCAACGTGTATCTGTGTGTGGCAGCCAGTTATCTGCAGTCTTACTTTAAACTGTAGGGCTATGGTCGTTATGGGCCATGCTGACGTTTCCGCTTGTCTTTGTGTTGGGATCCCCATTTCCCCTCGTGACTGGCTGCACGGCTGACACTTCTGCATTGCACGGCTCTCAGGATTTGGCCGAGCTTGTAAAGGAGGTGGTTGGCTATGAAGGGGAGTTGAAGTGGGATACGACCAAGCCCGACGGGACCCCACGAAAGCTCATGGACAACTCAAAGATCGCCGGTCTTGGTTGGACCGCCAAGATCTCCTTGAAAGAGGGTCTCACCGGTACATATCAGTGGTATTTGGAGAATTACGTGAACGGAAACATGGTACCTCAAAGCCACTAGGCTCTACTGTCGACTAGCCACTGCTTTAGGTTCCAGGAACTTTCGATTAATTGTGAAGTCGGTCAGGACCGTAGCGAAGCCAATCTGGTGTGAACAGTGGCTTGAAGTGCCTGGGCCCCTAGAACTTCTCCTCTTACACAATTACTGGCATGATTTGTGAAGCAGAGTTCTGACACCGGCAAATCGTTACATGACTGATATAAACCCAGATTCTGAAATGGTACTACTACTTGACGGTTGCAAATACACATTCCAACGAACTTGTGGTTGGCAACTTGAGTTACCGTACCTACTCCGTTGCTTCATGCCTGTTTTTGGATCAGGCGCCTGCGGCATGATCGAATGATGGACTAATACTTAAAATTCAGGGTCCGACTGCATTGACATGATTAATTTCATGATTTCATGCACTGGCTGAGCATCATTTCAAATTGGCCGCCAGTTGCATGGCTGTCCCCGAGGCCCGGGCTGGGCCGCGGCGGGGCCATGATGTTCATATGTACTAATCATACAGTCAGTGTATAGTATAATATATCCAGCCGCGCCGCGCAACTTATTCGTGCATGTAAGCCATGTAGGGCGGCAGGCGCTGGCTTATTAGTCATATAAATTGATTTCTTTGCTCGAATTTACTGCTATATGCCATATGATGCATCTCGCGAGCACAAGGGGGGGGAAGGCCCCGGGCCAAGCAATGTACAAGGAACTCAGTGGCAGGCGGTGTGGGTCGACTAGATTTGAGTAATTGAAATCCTCATAATCCGAAGAAGGACCTCCTCAGCTTGCCATGGTCACGGCATCATAAAGAAGTGCAGTCCATTTGCAGCCGCTGCCTTTCTCATAGATTTGCGCTGACATGTTGCCATAAGCAGCAATATTCCCGGGGCTGCCAGGAACAACTTCGGCAGCTAGTATTAGACCCAAAAACCGACATGTCGGACGATGCTAGTCCTGGTAGACGCATTAATTGCATGTTTCCGACTCAGTTCTTTACTTGTCTTGATTTGTACATTGCTAGCCGTTGACTATGCTTCCACCTGGCTGGTCGTCCAATGCAGCCGCCCGCATCAACGCGCCCTCCACAACCACGTCCCCCACGGCAGCACTCGCGTCCTTGTTTTGTGCCGCCCCCGCTTTTGCCCGCTTACCTGGGGCCTTCTTCTGCGTTCGGTTCGGCGGCCCGCTGATAGGCGGCGCGAGCCTCTGCGGGCCGGCCATAGGGTATGGAACTCCCAGCGGGGCACTCATTGGCTGCGAAACTGCCAATTGTAAACCAGGAACCCCGGCCCCCAGTCCTCCGGAAGCCCCTTGAGAAGCCTCGCCCTCCGGTTTCCGCTTCATCCCCTGCCCGGGTTTCCTTGAGAACAGCTCGTGAATCGCGTTCGCCTTTTGGAACTTGCGCGCGAGCGTGGTCCCCTTCTCGGCGCTGATCACCTGGTTGCACGCGTGGATGTAGCCCGCGGCATGGAGCGTCTTCCCGCCGTAGCAGTGGCACAGAAACCTGCAGATACGCAGAAGCACTCAAAAGAGTCGCCGGGGTTTCCTTGAGGGTTTTGACCATCAAATATTCTTACGTCCTCTCGATGCCAGTGGAGACGTTCTGGTGAATTTCCCAAGTAGAGTCCATCTCTTTCCCTACTTCTTGCCGATTCGGCCGCAGCATCCTACAGATCTGAAAGCGCGGAAGACTTGCAACAGAACCCAAAAAGACTGGTTTACGTAGTCCAGCCCCTCGTTGAGAAAGCCAGGTGATCCAGATCGGAAGTGCTGAATCTGAGAGAGGGGAATGGAGGCGCGGTTTGCTGCAAAGAGGCGCGGTTTGCTGCAAAGATAAGTTTTTCAGCAGGCGGACCAACGGGTTTTCACCGACCCAGGTAGAACGAGTCGGATTCGAAAACATTCTGGTTTCAATCGTGTTTCTGAACTTCCACATACCAGGTAAGAGGACCACTAATCGATGACCTGCTAAGTCCAGAATCGTCTCCAAGGCTCCCGGTGTTTTTATGAATGCGTAAATGTGTCGCTCTGAACTAGGAGAAAGAGTCCACTCGTCCATTAATCCATCCGCTCCATCCGCTCAATATGGGTCACACCTGCCGGGCATGAAACTGTCCTGGATAGTTTGGCACACACCTTCAGATGACTAACATGCTTTGTCCTCAGATCAACTTGTGAAAGAGACCACTTGAGAAGTTTCGTGAATACAGGTCCAATCTCATCCTTGATGTGATTGTACAACGATGACCAAACAAGCGCCGCAGAACACGTAAGCTCCGAACACTTACGAGAGCAGGCACTTTCGCCGGGCCTCCGACGTGGCGTTCGGTGTCCCCATGAATCGCACCAGCTTTTCAAAGTCCTCAGGTTTCGGCAGGACGGCCTCAACCCGCTCCTCGGGGGGGGTAGCTTTTTCCCTGGGCTTGCTAACCCCCTCCCCAGGCAAAAGCCGCATCACAGCATTGATGCCCTCTGCCGGAATGCCGTCCAGTGCGGAGCAGACGTAGTAAGTCTCCCTCCGCTTGACCAGGGCGATGACCGAGACATGGCCGTCCTTCACTCCTGCACGGACCGATAGGCTGGGTTAGCTGGGTTACTGGTGGGTTAGTCGGGTCACTGTTGGGTTGGTTAGGTTACTGGTGAATTCATTCAGGTCAGCTGGGTTGCTTAGCTCAAAGCCATGCAGGTCTATCTATCACTTAATATTCGTGTTCCGCAGGTGCTCATGACTGGCAGGCGTCGTAAGATGCGCCCCTGTGATGCAACCACCCCTTGTGCCCCGCAGGTCAGCAAGAGTGGGGCGGTCAGAAACACTCAGAGGAGGAAGCATTACTGCAACCACCAGATGGATCGTTCAGTAAGAACAGGGCTGGAATAAAGTTGCACCAAGGGTTCATGCTGGGAGTCCTTCAATGAAAAGTCTGGGAAGGCCAAGAATCGTTCTTTTGTGCCGTCCTGCGGAAGCCGAAAACTACTACACAACAATTGCATCCAAGCCAAGATTGAAAGCAGAGCATGGGCGTCAGGGTGGTGTGATTAGATCTCTGATCTGGTGAAGTGACTGGAACTCAAGTCCCTTCATCGAATACGTTCTGGCATCCCAAAAGGGCCTCAGCAGTTCTTGTAACTCCTGTGTTTCCTAGCCCTGTTGGCAGGGTTTCTCCTCTAATTATTCTGCAACTGCCCTCCTTTTTCAGGAAGCTGAATGCAGCACGCTTCGCTATAAGAATGGAATGGCAGCACGCTTGAGAGTAGAATAGGCCCCTGAAATGTCAGCCTAAAATCTGCAAATTGGGACCAGTGCTGCAAATATGAGACCACTTACGCCGTGTCACACGCAGCGGTACCTTCTCCTTCTCTCACAGGACTTTTTGCAAGTTGAGTTCAATGCTAGGCACAGACCACGGCAATCTGACGAAGTATACTTAGATTAGAATTCAACCGTGCAGCAGCCTAAACGCTGTAAGCCAAACTGATTTACGAACACCGAAAAATAACGGAAAATACTATTCCAGATTGCGAAGGAAGCCTGGTACATGAACGAACAAAAGAGATGGGGAAAGAATGCCACCGGACAACAGTTGGTTGGAACACTCTCCATTTGGAGGCCATTCAAACGGCAGTATAAGTCTCAAGGATGACCTGCCGGGTATATTGAAAACTTTGCAGATGGTAGCTCTTTCTAAGTACACTCTATGTCGCACCAGCTTTAGTAAGGGGCCCGTGACCTGCTCACACGTACAAACCACTAGCACCAGAAGCCTTCCACAGGTCCCTGCTTGACCACAAACACACATTGAAACCCTAAAAACTCTCCAACAAGCATCATGACCAAGCAGACCTTTCATTTCCTTACTCACCTGCCCTTTCTAGCCGGTGCAGCACCCGTTTTGGCTTGTCCTCCTTCGCCTGCGCCTCCGGCAGCACCAATTTCATGAATTCTAGCGCCTTCATCATCTTCTGCTTTTGCAACTGCAGCAGCGCCTTCAACACGGACGACTCCTCGCTGTCCAGCTCCCTCATGGTCGCAAGGTGCTGCAGTTTCCTGATCTTTACATCTATCAGCGGCGTGAATGTGGGAGCTGGGATGAGCTCATGACCCCCAGTGTACGAAAACATTGGCTGGGCCATGGGGATCTTCGGTTGCGGGGGAAAAGCAAAGGGATTTGAGAAGGGGTGGAGCGGGGGTGCCAGGGGAGGGGGGGGTACCATGTGTGCTGGATACACCATGACATTGGGCGGGACTTTGAACGTCGGCTTGAAGGCCCATGGGGGCTGTTGAGGAGGGAGCACATGACCTGGGGTGGGAGGCTTCCTTTGCGCACCTTTTGAACTGCTCTGCTTCTCTTTCCTGTTGGTTTCTGCTTGAGGAACTATGTTGAACAGCCCGGGCGCGTTCAAGTCCATCGCAGGCATGCCCTTTGAGGCCCGCCGCTGCTTCTTTGCGGCTGGCTCGTTGATGAAGGCGTTCCCATCTGCTGTGCCTGGCGGTCCTCCCGCTGCATTCTCCATGTTCGCCACGTCTGCTATCTCAACCCGCAGATCCTCTAAGCCTTCAGAAACCAGTTAAAGTAGACAATGACCAAGATGTTGGCTGCAGCGCAAGGTGCAGCCCCTAGAAAAGAACACAGAAGAACGAAAGCCAAAGGTTGAAAGGTCCTTTAGAGAGAATAAACAAAGAGAACTGAACAGCGCCCAGGCCTCCTTAGGCCTCCTTAGGCTTTGGAAGAGAATTTCAATGAATTTGAAATGCAGAGCTTTGCGAATTCATGAGAAGGGAAGCAATGCCGATAGACGACCGAGATCTGCTCAAACTCTCAAATCGGACGGTGAACATTGAATCTTAGAAAACTCCCCTGCCTGTGATTGGCCGAAACTAGCTCAAGAATTAGGGTTTCGTTGTCTTGTCTTGCACTGTCGCAGCAAGACAACGGGTCTGGTGCAGAGGACTGTGGAGGGCACTACTCAGGCCTTCCACTTTCGCTTCCTCTTGGCAAGGATGCATTGGGGCGCCGTAAAGTAGCTGCCCTTTCTCTTCCCTTTATGGTGGAGATGGAAGCACGATCACCTCTTAGTCCTAAGGGAGCGAACTCAGCTGACGAGCTTGAGGTTCGAAGTTTTCGCAAGGAATCTTTCGTTCAAGCTGCCTCTGCAGTATACAAGAGGACGAGTGCGGCTGTCCGTGTTTCACCAAGAACGAGAAGGCCCGCCACAGTTGACTGGCTCGCAAACTTCGAAGCTCAGAATATGAAGCAATCGGCAGCTCACGCGGGCAACCTACTTGGTCAGCACGACGAAAACGTTTTGAAGGTCAGGGGTGCGCTTAGAGCTGCGGAGAAGAGCTCAGAGCTCCAAACCGGGATCACAGGCAGTGATAGCAGGGCTGTCAGAGAACCAGGAAGGTTAGAGTCAGGTGGGGAAGCTGCTGACATCAGCGGGGCTTCAAGAGAGTCTTCAGCACTGGTGCCCCCATCAGACCAGTCGACTGATGAGAAGTCAGTGAGAGCTAGCGTTGTTATTCTGGAAGGGCCAAGCCTGGCAGACGGGGGAGAAAGGAGCCTTTCTGAAGCAAGTGGAGCTGGCCAAATGCCTGAAGCTGGGGCACATGACGATGCAGAAACAGAGGAGGAAGATGGAGACTGGGAGGCCCTGCCTTCAGAAAAGGTACAGCTAAAGTCTCTTCGCTGTATGTGGAGTTGTAAGGGTCAAGCAGTGTAAGGCACATACCTTTCTTTTACGACGGTCCAATGCCTTCTTATTCAGCGGACCTTATTCCACCGTTGAGGCTGTGAGTCAATGTGTTGTGATGAAAGAGTGGTTCTTTCTTGTCATGTGAAATTCTGGTGACGACTTGCATAAGTGATCTTGCGGACCGATCTAGAAGGAATGACAAAGGAACTGAGTACTGGTCTTGTCAGACTGCCGTCAAGAATGAAGCGAAGCCAGTTCTGTCAGAGTCTGTTTATCTTCCTTAGGCCTCAGTGCTGTTTTAGACGTGGACACCAGAGTGCATATTGTCTGAGCTTGCGACCAAGGCTTGCCAGGTCCTCGACACTACCATCTGAGCTACAAGCAATCAATGTCAAACCTTTTCTGACCCTGTCACGCAGGAGATTGAAACTTATGCGGAGTATCTGGGGATGAAGCCCAAGGAGGATACAGAGGTGCTCTGGATTGCAGAGCAGGCGATGTTGTGTCCGGTCCCAGGTCAGTTGGAGGCACTCCCAATTGGCATTTTCCAAGACAGCGTTCATTGAGCTTGCTGCAAGGCTGATTTCTCGGAGGATCACAGCATCAGCATCCGGAAAGACAGTTTTGGTAGCTCGGCATCTGCGAGTTTTTAACCTTTAACACTGGGAGAAGAATTTTGCAAGGATTCAGCTAGAGGCTTTGCGCAAAGCAAGGTAAATGTCAACAAGAATGCATGCAGAAAACCAGCTCGCACTTAGACTCTGCCAAGTGCCATTCTGGCACAATGTCACGCTGATTGAGAGCACTGCTTTGGCTGGTCTTGGAAAGATTCTGTGGTGCTGGAAGGGGCACTCAATGCGCAAAGCGATGCACTTTCTTTGATCCTTCTAGAATAGCTAGCCTTGACGGGCTACTTCAACTAAACAGGCAAACATGCATTGGCAACCTACAGGCTCTTTGCCTGTTGCTTTTGTGTCAGGTCACCAAGTCGTGGTATCTCTGGGCCTCCTGCAAAGCATCAAGCCTCAAAAATTTGATAAGCTTGTCAATCTCTCACAAGTCCCCCGAGAAGAAAGCGGGGAGGGTATCATTCCAACGGCTGTAAGGGTCCAAAAAGGGCCGAGTTCCGCGGAACTCGATTTTACAAGTCAGTAGCAGTCTCTAACGGGACTTGCCCAAGAAGCAAAGAGTAAAAAGCTCCTTCTTTTCAGCGTAGCAAGAAACGAGAAACGCAAGCTTATTGGATAGCCAGATTCTAAGATCGATTGTGCCAAAATTTTCATAAGCACTTTATCAAACAGCCAACGCTTGTTCAGAATAGCCAAACATAAGACCGATTGTGCCAAAAACTCATAACAACTTTATCAAACAGCCAACTCTTGTTCAGAAACGTTTAGAAACGGCTCCCTGAATCTCCCTTGCTTCCCAGACGGCTGGCAGGAGGGCGTTGACAGCGACGGCAGCACCTACTTCTACGAGCTCGAGACGATGACGTCATGCCGAGCTCACCCGTGCGATGACGATTACAAGTTCCTGTACCGAGGCCTCCGGCGATCGGTCCGGGAGTCTGCAGTGACGTTCGAAGCGGTAAGTAAAGCTCGTCGCGACGTTTGTTTACTTGGTCAATGTAGACAGTTGCTCCGTGTCTCCTTTCCGTATTATGCGATTTCGAAGTCAAAAGTGGAACGGCAGTTCGGTTCTGGCACGACTGCGGGAATCTAGCTGTTTGCACCTGGTGATATCGGTCCAGAATTCCTTCTCGCACTCAGCCGATCAGCATGTATCGCAGCTGTCGAAGTCAGCTCTCGGAAAAAAGAAAGGCAGAACTCGACGAACTGCGAGCTTAAGTCACATTTGCGGATAAGGCTCACTTTGCTCAGATCTTTCGAAGAACGCTGCGTGTCGTGTCTCCGTCTGAAGTAAGGCGTAGGCGGATTCTCAGAACGTAAAGCCGTTCGTTCAGCCTGGCGACTCTAAAGCTTGCGCCCGGCCTCACTAGGTTTCTCTATTTTCAAGCGCTCGGGAACTTTTGTGGCGACCGTTATACGGTTTCTGCGGGGTTGCAGAAGGCCGAGAACTGGTCTCGTGGGGACCCCCTGTCAGGTTGTACCGAAGTAACGCTCGCGCATGATGGCAGAAACGCGTTCTGCAAGGTGATCTAGACGGACGAGAAACTACAAACACACTCCACCTCATTCCGCACTTATGAACACTCTTGCGCCAACTCATGTACGACCTTCCCAGGCGAGCGGAAACAAAAGTCAACAAAGTAAAAGAGAAGAAAAAGCAAGAGAACAAATGATAGGAGAATATTACAACCGCAAAAATAACCCAAGTCGGACATCGAACGGTTTCTTTTGGTTTCTTTCTCCCGCAGGTCATCATAATGGCCGACCGGTTGGGCATCGACGTGGCGACCGAGCCGCACCTACTATGGGTTGCCCGGCACGCCCTTTTGGCGCCATTGCTGCCCGGGTGGGAGGAGATGGAGGACGAGGAGGGCAGCTACTACTACGACCGGAGAGCGGAACGCGCCACAGCGGAACACCCCATTGACGCTTTCTTCTTCCGGCTGGTGAGAGAACGGATGTCCAGCTTTCATTTCTGGAGGTCATGCTTGTAAAGCAACTGGGGAATAGTGGTGTTGCTTCCTTTCCCTACCTGACTCTAAATATGATACGTCGGTCGATGTTGTCAACCAGCGGAGCGAGTTTCTCGGCGATTTTGGCTTCGGGTTTCTTCTTTCCTGTTTCCAGATCGCCTTGGAGATGGCTCCGTGGCAGCTTCTTCTGGAGTCAGAAATGCTCATTGCAAATCAACCAGAAGAATGGCATTCAGATGGTCTTCTGATAGACAGCGAAGGCTGACGTGAGTACTTGTTTGCCTTTTGCCCGAGGAGGATGATTGCTGGAAACCTTCTGCACCATTGCTGATACGCAAAGAAGCCGGAAAGCTCGCCAATGCAGTCTATATTTAGACAGCCTTCTCTCAGGGTGCCACTCTGTCAACCGAGGAACAATGAGGAGGACTCTTTGAGAGCTTGCTATTAGGAAGTCCGGTTAATGTGGACGTCTGCTGACTCGGTTTGTTCCCCTTCCTGCTGCAGATTGAAACGGAGCGAATGAAGAGGAAAGAACTAGAGAAGAGCAACTCGAGCGCCCTCGCCGCAAAAGGTAAAAGCGTATTTCTGCTACCGGTCAAGGCCGTTTTGAATTCCACGCGATCATGTGAGGCATTTGCTTGGGACTTCTCGGTTCATCAGGGAGCGGGTCAGTTCTTTCCCGGGCATACCGAGTCGCGCTGCTGAACGGATGTGAGAGCTCAGAGTGCTATCTCAAGAGCTCTCTTTGCAAAACAGACTCTTGCACTTCTTCGGTCTAGACAAGACTCAATAGGTTCTTCCGCGCAAAACCCCTGCTATCCATGAGAGCATTGGGTGTTACCCGTTAAACCCTGAGCGAACAAACGCCAGTCCTCTTGCGATGCGACTAAGCAGATTTCTGGATGCTTCAAATGGTTACCCAGTGGGTACATCGCAAGGTCAAAGTTCACACGAAGGTCCGGTTTCCACCTTTTGCTCACCTTTACTCTCGAACTCTCTTTTTTGTCCGCCTCTCCAAACCTCTCTTCCGCTCCCATCAGTGTAAGAAGCCCCAATTACGCTCGTTTGCTGCGCAAAACGCGTCTTCTGATAATCCTTCCACCGCCCGGGCAGATGCAGAAGCGTGCGTGATGGAGCTTCTGGACGAGGATGGAGACGTGTTCACCTTCGACTGGTCGAAAGCCGAGAAGCACGAGCCGCCACCGTTCGATGAGGATCCGGCAACTGCTGACAGCTGGTCTTCCATGGCTGTCTTGCCCACTGTTGCCAAGTTGGTGTGGAAAGCCCCGCTTGGATTATTTACCGCCCTGCTCAGAATCTGGTCCACTGTAGTCGGAAGCCGAGTTGCGGCAAGCGATGCTTGAAAGGTTGCCCAGCCTTATTCGGTACAAAGGTGGCGGCTGCTAACGTACTGCTGCGCTTCAAACACGCCGCAAACGCTGAGGCACCGTTTAAACGCGCAATTGCCATGGGCCGGGAACGAACTGACCACAATCGCTCTCGGTCATGCGGAGTACTGTATTGCATCCGCGATCGTTCAGTATAGGTAAAGATTCCTATACGGCGGTACGCACTGATCCTACACGGGCACGCGAAGATTTCTCTACCAACGCAATCCACTTGGATCGTGGCACGCGCTGCCATGACATTGATCACGTCTGGTCGCGTGAACTTAACAGTCACGGTCAATCAACTTGAGTACAGCTTAAGTGGTATTCTGAATCCGACAGCTATAGCGCGGGCCCGGGCCGCTTAGGAGCGCGCATGAGGTGCGGCCATTGCATGCCGCTGTGCACATACTTTCACGTGCAGCACAAGCTCTTTCGAGATTCATATGTGATGTGGTCACTCGTTGCGGGTCGATCCCAGGCCGCTAAGATGAGTAGAGAGCAGTTCCCAATGTTGTCATCGCGATCCGGTCGCTGTATGTGCTGCACAGCATTTTCATCACTGCCGTACACGTGCTGGCACTGGCACCAGCTCAGTGCCGCCCCAACGTTCATTGTTACCGGAACCTACGTATACATGGTGACTTATGAACCGGGGTCACGTCGGATTAGCCTCCTTATCCTGTTCACGCCATCATAACAGTCAGTCAGCATCTGTCGACATGTTGGCTTCATACACAGGACACAACGCCAGAACCTGCTGGCCGGCCATGTGAGCAACTGGGCACGACTCTCGTCAGGAATAGAGTAAACCTGAGAGGCCACCTAACATTCTCGTATGCAGCGCAGAGCAGCCATGCATGCTTCGAAACCTATGTACAGCATACTGCATCGACTTTCCGGCGCAGCCATCCGGTTCCCGCGGTCCCCTCGCTCTCAGTGGTCCGGCGCATGCAACCTAGACGTACGTACTTTCCTGCGGCATGTTACAAAGAGCCCTCATCGTGTTGCTAGCCACATCCAGTAGTTGGAGGTATTCGTCTCCCCCGTCGATCAAACACTGCAACCAACACAAGAAAGAAGTTTAACAGCCTGCCCTTGCGAGCTGCTGCGCAGCAGGAATGAGTGCCCATCGATCCCATCCTTCCGCGGCTTCGGACCGCCATGCCTCGACCGCTCATCCCCAAGCAGGCGCTCGCTTGACACTTGCTCAGCTGTTGACCAGTTGGCTTGAAAGCCCATCCCCAGCACTAAAAGTTTGGCGAACAGAGGTCGGGCGCTTAGAGCGGTCTGCAGGCTTGTCCCGTGCAGCAAGGTCTTACAAAATATCGGAATACCATCAACTGGGTGTGACAGTTGCAAGTCCAAGCGTGTCAGGTAGCGCGCCGGCAGCCCACCTTATCGGCCTCGGCCACTCGCTCGCATATCCGCGCCTTCTGCTCGTCGGTGACGTCCTCCGCCCGTACCACCTCGTCGTGAAGCTGCGCAAGGAAAATCAATCGCAACAGTCACACGAGATTCAAAAGAAGGCTTCGAGCGATCGTAAAACCGTTACCTTGTCCTGCAAAGAGAGAAGTGTCTCGCTAGAGGCAGCACAAAAGTAAAGGCTCAAATAAAGCTTGCTTGCTTGAAGCTTGAAGATGGAGACCCAGCCCCTCAGAGGAGGTCGAATGCTTCATTGCTTGGGCGGCACATCGGGACGTCGGGAGTGCGGGGGCAACGGATGTCCAAAGGCGCCGCAACAATTCCGTAGCTCCACAATAAAGTGCGTGAGACGACATTTCCACGGCTCCACGTTTCGCGCTCTCAAAGCATTGCCGTGTCAGGAAACAGACCACCAAACGGGAAACACTAGCCTCCTGTTGACTCTTCGACAACACTTTTGAGTTTCGTGAATCTGTGATACAAGAGAGTAGACACGAAGGCTCCGTCGAGCCTTTCAGATCTGGCCTTCTTCAAGCATGCAGCGCCCAGGCTGCGTCTCACGCCCTCTCCTGCAAATCCGCATAGACACTCTCCCGCTACGACCAGCGGTTGGCCACTCATCCTCAATATGCTCGTGTCTTCTGGGCTAGTTCCCATGCTGATGTTTGAAGCTCACCTGGGAGAGGATCTGCGACACCGCATACCCGTCCGCAATGATGTCCGTGACCGTCCCCTGGGCCTTGTCGTAGTCGCCGCTCCGACATGACGTCAGCAGCTTCTCGATGACGTCGTCCGGGACCACCTGCGGCAAAAGCCGGCGAAGCTTGCAGTCGACCACAAGTTGCCGAGCACAACCAGAAGCATCAGCAATTGTGGCCAAATCACCGTCATGAGCGGTTTCACTGGCATGAGCTCGGAAAGGACTGAGAGTTGGGATTCGCCTTTAAAATTATGAGAGCAGGCTCGGGGAATATGCTCTCATGAAGCTTTCTGCAGCAGGGCGTCAACATCCGACCCGAACTTTGTAACAGGGTCTTTTCTGTTGCCTTTCTTACACCTTTCTTACATCAGATCCGAAGTAGCAGACTCGTTCACGAGTGAGGCCAAAGAGCGGTCCAAAAGAGCGGATCTCTGTAGGCTGTAGGCAAGGAAGCGGAGCACTTTGCGGGCCAAACATTCCTGCCTACACTTGAAGCTGCACAAACTCCGCACAATTCGAGAGATGCTGTAAGAAGGACGAAGCCTTACCCCCGAAACGCTGATAATGTTTTCGCTGCTGATGCGGGACCCGAACAGTCGGCTCGCGCTCTGGAGGCACGTGATCGCTCGCCGCATGTCGCCTCCCGAGACTTTTCCCAGCGTGTTCAAAGCCTGGGGCAAGAACCCGGGAAAAACGCTCGGGTCAAGAACACACGGGGAAAAGAAGTGGTAGTAAAAAAAGCACCTGAAAGGAACGGTCGGGTAGGCATCTGACGGCTCTGATGCGGAGGGGACGGATTGCGATGTCGATGCTACGTCGACCATCATGATGATATGATGTGGGAATCCACAAAAACCTCTGAAAACGCAAGTTGACGATACTCTGTCGGTGGGGCGGGCCTTTTGGGCCCTGTATCGCAGAGTGCATCAATCCCGTTGACCGTCTAACTTTTATGTTGAGCGTGCTACATCGGAACTTCCGGGCTGGGCGGCCAAAATCACCCAACTGTGGCCGGCGCCTTTGCCCGGGCACGTAGAGTTGGAAAATCACGTTCATTGGTGTATTTGCCGAGCAGGGCGGCTAGTTCGACAGCTTTGGTGCAGCACGATGAGTTACCAGTCATTGCCGTGGACCATCCGCACACTCGGGCTCAAGTCCGGGGGTGCTGTCGGGGGTACCCCCGAAGTTCTGAAACTCTGCGATCAAACTCCATAAATCCTGAAGCCCCTGAAACTGTTGTGCTCTGAAGTTATTGATGACTTGACATTATGAGGTCCTCACCAATCCAAATCTACCAGAAGTGAACGGACAGCGTCGCTATGAGGCCGAGGCTCTACAGCCGTCAAACCTATCAGTATCACCTGATAAGCAGAGAGTCTCAAGCGACTGTACTTACCTCGTCGTCAAGGGAAAGGCCCTCCTCCCGACAGATGTACTGGATGCGGTCCGTCATGATCTCCCGCCCCAGGGGTTTGAACCGGAACTTGGCGCACCGGGACGCCAATGGCTCAATGATTCTGCAAACATCAGCAACTGGTCTTGAGATGTGGGGTCGCCAATGGCTCAATTATTCTGCACGCATCAGCAGCTGGTCTTGAAACCTTGGGGTCTGTTAGTGTTCCAAATCTGGGAACAGGGCTGTAGAGTTGTAGGGGGGTGACAAACGGCATACTTTTCCAGGTTCCGTCTTCAGGTCCAAGGAAGGTCGAGAGTTGCCATCGAGCGACTAAAAATCGTCATCTTCGCTGGAAGCCTTCCGACGAGCAGGACCAATTGTCGAAAGTGACGAGAAGCACGCAGTCGGAGAGCCAAGCTTGTAGCCAAGATTCCAGGCTGAATGAATTCGTCAAGTCCGAACTTTGACCACTGGCCAAAGCTAGGAGATAACCAAAAGATGCACAATCATGAAGAGATGGGACTGCAGGCTGTTTCACTGTAAAGTCCTTCTGAGCAAAGGAAACGCCACTCATGCGTCTGCTGGGCTCCTCACCTGCTGATGTAATTGCAGATGAAACAGAAGCGGGTGACTTTGGAGTACGTCTCCATAGTTCGTCGCAGCGCATTCTGCACGAGTTCGACACTTATGTCAAGGAGCGACCGGGCTCTCAAAAAACGGGTCCGGCCGAGGCTTGCCCCTCCCGAAACAACGGTTACCTTTCCCCTCCGTGTAACCTTCACAAATGCTTCTCTCGTGCACAATCGACAGTCAGAGCATGGGTCGCTGCAAAGAACGCCAATTGCTGAAACTTATCCCAAACCGTACATTGCACCGGATGCGACACTGCAAAGATACGTCAAAATTGCTAGCGCAATCGAGCCACACCCTGTACAAACCCCATACTCAACTTACAAACTGTCCTTTCGGAATGATGTCCACAAACTGGAGCCAATCAAGCGGGGTTCCAAAAGTACGCTTAGGTGTCTCGCAAGCCGTGTCGTCTGTTGATCACTAATGTTGACCCGTGTCCTTCATAAGCAAACACCATCTGGTTTCAGCACCCTGACGAAATTTGTCTCAGGGACCTCGAAACACCGTTGAAATGCAAGCACCGAAAAAGAAAGAAAGAAAGCCTAGTATTCGTGCTAGGTAGTCGTATCTCCTCAAACAGTATCCAAGTAAACAAGTCTCTCGCGTTGGGATTGCATTTAAGTTACAGGCGGGCAAAGCTCACCTGTGCGTCCTCGGTCATCGAGTCCGCCTCATCCAGAATGAGCACCTTGAAGGGCGGGCAGGGGTAACCGCTCACGCCTGGCCCAACTGCCACCGCCGCAAAGTCCTTTATCTTTGTGCGCACCACATTGATCCCCCGGTCGTCGCTGGCGTTCAACTCCAAAACCCGCGTCTTGACCAGTTCAGGCCTGGGTAGAGAGCTTGGTTCAAGTAAACTGAATTATTCAAAGAAAGCTCGCAAAACAGATGAGCCTTTCGACTGCTGCTACTTTCTACAGCAGCTAAGGGCGCCCTTAACCCACTTTGGCCCACTGAAGAAACGTCCAGTCACTTCAAACCCATATCACCTCATACTGCTGAATTCCACTCAGTCGCTCCTTACATCTGTGTCCATAGAAATTGGCCAAATCAGACTGCACAGAGGAATGTGCACAGAGAAACTTGCACCCACCCAAAGAGTTGCCGAGCAATAGCAAGTGCGGTCGTCGTCTTGCCCGTCCCTGGTGGCCCGTAGAATAGCAAGTGCGGCAGGTTGCCCGTCTCGAGCGAGTTCCTGAGCGTCTTGACGACCTCCTCTTGAGATGCGACATCATTTACATTCCGGGGACGGCTGCACAAGGCGCATGCTTCAGCAGTTGCAGTAGACTTGAAGGTTCCCTCTTTTTCCAAACAGACAGACGGACTCCGGCGCTGATGCAGGATGGAGGCTGTTTGTTAATCGATAATGCTGCATGCGCTGAGCTTGTTCGGTGTCGTCACGAGGTGGTGCGGTCATTTGCTGTGTCTTTACGGTTGCTGACCGGAAGCTTCACAGCTGCTATGAGCTCGTGCAATTATGTGGCGGACTTTTCAGGACACTATGATCCGATGAGGCCATCTAGAAAGTATGGTAGAACTGCAAATCTACAATGCACCTTTTGTTGCTTCAACGGTGTTACAACAAAATCAAATGCTGAATTGTTGAAAGACTGAAACACTCTTTTGAGTGATGCATATTTGAGTGCCGCTCTGCATAAAGCATAGCATTGCGGACTACAGAATTGAATGCAGTGTTGACGGCACAGAGGCTCTGCCCATTAAGTGCATTTTTGGTTTTATTGGTGATGAGCTGACTGGATTGGTAGGTCGGGCCTTGTTTGGTAGAAGAAGCAAGATTACGTAGCAGTCTGCACATGGGGCAAGAGACAACAGACCTGGTCGGAGGTGCATAGCAAAGAAAGTTCCTCTTGATCTAATCCTTGTGCTAGAGCAGGCCAGAAGAAGAACTATGTATCTGTAAAAACACAGAACCAACAACGCATTCAAGTGTGTCTCCACTTACTATTTCTCGACCCAGGGCTGGGTGGAAGGACCCGGCATTGGAGCCATGCCCGTCAGGTGCACTCCCCACGTCTTTCGTTATATGTGTTCCTTTTCTGAAAACAGCAACTTAGAGTAGGGTTCTGGCGTGACTGCAATAAATGCCTACTAGCATGCAGACAGACGAAAGAAGCACCCCGGATGGTGATGTCAACAGCCCCTGGTGTAGGAGCTCCTCTACCCTTTTTTGAAGTTTGATATGCAAGATATCCAGATTGGAGTTGGTATAAGATCGCTAGCGCAGGGAGATTGGATCGATGCAGAGCGTGCCGTTCAATTCCTAATGAGAGTAAAAGATCGAGGGACCTTTGTATTAACGTCCTTTCGTTTGAAGCTTTTCTTGCCCTTGCAAACGAGAGTGCCATGCACAAGCTGACAAGGAGCGGCGCAAAACAATTTGCAACACCATCCCCTGCAGATGGTCATGCTAGGCAATATGTTTCGAAGAGTTTTGGCGCGAAACCATAGGGCCGAGGTTTGCAAGTCCAATCGGACGCTAGACAGTAAAGCCACGTGGATTGTGTTTGGACTTTTCGGAGCTTACAGCCGTTCGATGAACCTGAGCTGAGGGGGCCTAGAAAAGTCAGCTGGCCCAGATGTGCTTGTGAGTGTTGCTTTTGTGCGGCGTGGCTTTCGAACTTCGAGTAGGTAATTCCTGGAACTTAGAGTTGCACATGGCCAAGAGAGCTTGTCAATGTATTAGCTCTGCAGTTGTATGAGCGCTTTAGAAGGTGCATTCTGCAATTCCTTGTTGGCCGCTTTTCAGAGATGGCCGTCGGCATCTCCCACGTCAACGCTGGGGCTTTGACGACGTCGTTTTTGCCTACTTTGAAAAGCGGCACGGGGGCACCCGTGCAGGGTCGCCGCGTTGCAAGGAGGCTGACCCACATTTGCGCTTACACCGTCGCAGTAAGCCTCCAATCCTGGTATGAGGATTTTCTAGTTGAATCCGAAAGAAAGTGACCGGGAGACGACTTATTCTTGTCAATCTGTTTTAGCCTGATGGAGGGCTACTGAGAATCATTCTTTGTATCAATTTGTTCCTGGCCAAAGAAGCCGTCATTTGGGCAATTGTCGTAGGTACGGCCCGGATGTCGGCTTCAGTGGCATCAACCAATGCCTGGCCTTTGCACTCATGTCAGATCTTCAAATCAAAAGTTTTGGCAAAACCAGATGTCTTAGAGCTTTTTGTTGGATTGGTTCCATGTCAATATCTGAAGTGCGCCTCGTGCCTCTTCAGATTACCTGAGAATTAGTTCTGATTGGAACGTGCCCTAGGAAGTCTCACATTCATTTTGTCCTCAACCTGAGAACAGCCGCAGCTGCTGCCAATCAGAGGACTCGCATGGATTTAGCCAAAAGGAATCCACCTGTGAAAAGAACACATTAGCCGCAGATCTTTTGCCTCGGTGTGGATTCCGATTCGGAGGTCTGCATTTGCCCAACCATCCAACGGTATCTTTCAAAAGTTGTCCAGAATTTACCAGCCTAAATTAGCGGACTGGCAACTGCTGAGGTCACATTTAGCCTGTTGAAATCGCAAGTGATGCGGTCCAATCGCAGACTCTGTGTACATTTCAGCTCCAAATGGAGTCCAGATCACTCAAGATTCTCACATTCAGGCGGATTGGAGAACTCAGAAAGTCTCTCGAGTTCCATGCCATGAACAAGCTGCATTAGTTCCTTGTGCCATGGGCATCCGCTGATTGTCAGATACAGATTAAACGATTCCAAATTTTGGATCTGATGAAGCAGAGTCTCTTGACTTGAAAAGCCTTCCCGAGATATCAACTTCTGATACTATGCCGGGTAGCAGTAGCCGCCTTGTTGGACAATGCTGCAAAGAGTCACCATTATGATCAACAGATATCAGTATTGGAGTTAACGTCGACCAATTGTGGGCAGACATTGAGAGTTTGCAAGGATAAATCGATTCGGTGCAGTGGTGTAAAAGAGGGAATCCTGTACAGCCCGTCAATCCAAAGGCAATTTCCGGTTTCTCATAACCTTCTCTCTGACGCAGATTCACCTTTTTCTCTGACAGTTTCAGTTGCATTGACGCAAACCCTGTCAAACTTAAAAACCATCTCCAGTGCTACGGGCTGGGCCATCCAAATTGCAGAGTGGTATTTTTGGTCATGTTGTCGAGAGAATTTAAGGTCGTAGTCCATGATTGTTGGAGCCATACTTTCATTGTTGTCACAAAAGCTTATGGTTGTGGTCCAATGAGAGATTACTTGTAGAACATACTCCTCCCCCTGCTGCAGCCTGGGGATACCCTATGGAAGATCTCGCAGAAGGAGGGCGTAAATTTTGCAGCCCTTAAGGAGGCAAACAAGAATATCCTCAACCCAAATGTGATTTATCCTGGCCAGACGGTCATCGTTTCTGGGTGAGCTAGTGCTTCCGCTAACGGCCCTGACTTTCTTTTCCTATGACCTTCCCTTTTCAAACAAGCAATCAAGACCGCCCTGTTTCCTCTCTACATAAGTTAAGAAGAAAAAGACAGTCTCAAGAAAAGGATTAGATTCACTTCCACATCCGAAGAGTATAGATACTTCTCCAGTTTAAGAAGGATTGGGTGCCAGTTTTTTCCGATAACGTTGCTTCTCCGCCTCCATCAAAAAGAAAGAGCGGTAGCGCTTGTGGCTCACGTGGGCATGACAATATAAAAGGGGGTCAGTTTTGACAACTCGATTCTCTTGTCGGACAGTGTTCAGGGATTGCTGACTTTCTGTTGCAAACTGCAAACCACTGGGTTTCGAACCTCTTCGATGTCTAGTCTTCTCATGCTTCTGAGAAAATGTGGAGAATGTGAAAGCGTGCCAAAACGCGAGTTACTGGACAGAACCTACGTAATCAGGGAATCGATTCTGTGTACCTCCAAAACCAAATTGAACCTCCGCAAATTGAAGCTCGAAGGTTCATCCTTGCAGGAAGGTCGCGACCACCTCTGTTGCCCCTTCTGGCTTAACCCCGAAGCAGAAGAATATCGGGGTGACAATCATCTTTGTGCTCCTGGGTGCGGCTATCTACTCCATTTTTGCAAGTAAGAAGACGGAGGAAGAGCCTATCTCCACCTAAGGCTGCGAGACGGCGAGATGGCGAGACGTCATCATGCAGGTCAGCTTGCACAGGATTCATGTGTTGCAGTAGGAAAGAACCAACGGTTAGGCTCTTGGTTCGTTTGTCAGGTCTGACAGAAGCGTACATAACTTAGGATATTTATCCTCCTAGCCTCTGAGGAGCTGGGAGTTCGTGCAATTGCTTCTACAAGCTTTGAACAGATAGAAATTGTGTTTGGTTGCGGACATGGATACGATACGTAGAAAGGTTCTTTTACTACGTGTTTGAACAAGGACACCACAGACTGCTCCTCCAGGGCAAACTTAACGGCAGCTGCAGCAGCATCCTGATAAGTTGGTTGGTGCACACGTTGCACCTAAGCTTTTGAAAATCAAGTTTAAACAACTCCAAGCGCTCCGACTGCCAGGTTGACGTCACGTGACTCAGTGACCGGGGATGCCTAACGAATGAATCAGAATTTTGCAGCACATGCATATAATCTGGATGCTCGTTTGGATTCTTGACCGGAGTGAGCAGTTCATGCTTGCCCGACAAGCATATGCAGTACATAGCCGCACTGCACCACTTTCTGCTCGATCTGAGCCGGCCATGTCGTGCATGTATCGTGTTGATCCATGGTAGATCTACCGATTGGATTTATGCCGTTGGCACTGCTCACAAGCATTGCCGCGCCAATATTTTGAAAGCCCACCTCAGCGCACTATGACGCTATGATGACGTTTTACATGCGCGATACAGGTACTATCAACAAACGTAGTCGTTGGATGGACACGAATTGCATGAGACGTTGATATAGCTGGGCACAAACACCGCGACGTGCGCGGGCGGTCTATTCGAATGATCAATGATTGATGCAGTGCATATGGTGTTATTGATGAGGCGGCCGCGGACTCATAGATGGCGGCTGCACGTTAAGCTACCATGAAGGCCTGCACGCATCATCACACAACGTAGCGTCACTAAGTCAAGCTATAGGCGGCCGCGCTGTATTTAGGCCAGTGGTTATAAAGGCATCGATCATTGAGCATGCCAGGAGTGACTCACTTTCACGCAGTCGTGAGAAAGCTCAGTATTGTCAACGTCACAGTGTGGTATACCCATTGCTAGCCAGGAGTGACTCACTGGCCGAATCGAGCTGAGTCCGTTGTTGAGTCAATGGACAAGTTTTTTACATGTCAGCTACTGAAGCGCTTCATTCGAGTCGCGAGGAGAAGCATGCTCGTTGCATGTGCAGCCAGTCCGGGCCGGTCATCAACGTTGCCGAAAATCAAATGAAGACATCTGGCAACGTACCCTTGAGCGCTAAGTTCAAGTACGTGTTGACGACAAGAGCACACTGAGCGACTAGCCGCTGAGCCGGTTCATCAAGACCTGATGCGCTGTACTTTCAGGTCCATCTGCGTTTGTTGGTGTGTTGGAGGTCTATCGGCCCGGATCACATGATCATATTGCTCGATTGATCCCTGTTTTTCCAACTTACATGATCATGTAACTTGCTGGTGCCGCATGCACTGCCACTCTTGATCGCTATCAATTGCAAGGCGTATTCTCCACATTACTGCCAGGGTTAGAGTTTGCTCATGACTCGTTGTGACGCAGCTCTTCCTCATAGGAGGTGGTCAAGTACATAGAAATATCATCACGTCTATTTCGTACGCCTTGGCGCTAGTGATGTGAACCTACCGTCTCGCCTTCTTCCGGTCGCACGATTTCGTCCTTTCCTTCACGGAACTGGCGAGGGCGGGAAATGAAGTGGCCTCGTATGATGGCCTCCCCCTTTTTCACCTCGTTCACGGGGCCGATCAAGAAGATCTTGTCAGGCGGCCCTGCAGTCAGGCTGGATCAATCAGACACGAATAGAGGACTGAAGCCTATATCACTAGAATGAGAAGATAGCAGATTTGAAACAGGCGTACCGCGCTCCGCTTTCATCTGTTGTTTTTGGAGACCAACTCAGGCGTGGAAAGACGCGGTAGGGACTTTGTGGAGTGTAGCGAAGAGCTCAATTGGCCTTTCTTCACGAGCAGAAAACGTCAAAGAAGCCTGTCTGTTTTCGACATCTTATGACACTATAGTCCTATAGTTTGAAGGTACGCCCGGTGGTGATCGGGCGGTAAACCAAGATTCTACACGGACGAAGCGAAACCAACGGGTCGGGGACGGGATTGATTAAACGGCGACATTTAGTGGCGCCAGGGCGGAGGAGCAAAAGTTCGCCCAGCAGAAACAATCAGCAGGTCGGGACCTGAACCGATCAGCTGAACATCAACGTCAAGAGCAAAGACAGCAGCTTAGAAGCAAGTACAGCCTCAGGATTATCAAAGCAGTCAACTTCGGAAGCAGCACCTCGTATCCCGCCCGTGAAGATGTCCGCTTCGACCGACTTCTTGAGCGCGACGATGGCCTCGCCCTTCCTCCCGATGACGCGCCCCATCTTGCCAGCTGGCACCTCCACAACCACCAGCGCCTCTTCGTACGGCCGCTTGTCGTACGACTCGTGGTCTGCACGTCCGAAGGGACGTCGGGGTTAGCTTGACCGGAACACTGAAACATGGTTAGGCTCTGATTAAGGTGACTAGTGCACGGGGAGTACGCACGCATGCGGGTGCGGCCTCGTAGGGCCGCTTGTCGTACGACTCGTGAACTGCACGTTCAAAGGATTCGAGGGTAACTTGTACCGCGAGTTGAGAGCTCGGATTGGGTCCTGCTTAAAGTGACTTGTGCCTGGGAAGGAGGACTGCGGGTGCGGGAGTCGCAAAACCGGCAAGTGCAAAGCAATAGTTCCGGGGTCCGTGTGATCATCGCCGCAAAAACCGGGCACATGTTTGAAGGACTGAAACGGAGACTGGTCTTGACGTGCAGTCTTTGAGCTTCGAGACGTCCAAATCGGTCTCTGCAGTCGCCCTGCAGATGCATGGCAAGGTCAAGTGCCGCCCCGTTCCTGGATCCTCAGCAATACGAGACACAAAGCTACTCAATTGAGTAACATATTACAGAGAGATTGGTCGGTTCGAGCGTAATAATGTATGGTAAAGACAGTTTTGAACATTAGTACTCCATGAAAGTGTCGTCCCATCAGCCTCAAATGATCGATGGAGTTTGCAAATGCAGCATCTCAAATGCGGATCCTCTCCCGACAGATCTTTTGCCGTCTTTTACAGGAGGAGAACGAGCTGCGGTACCTGGCATGGGCGGCACGGGCGGCCAGTCGCTCTCCTTGCTGTTCCCGTGGCCTATGCAGAAGCAGCGCGCGGACAGCTCGCCACGTGCCCTCAGCTGCCACCGCCCGTACACGTCCAGTTGAGCATTCATGGTCGCCCACAGCTCTGCGCCGAAAGAGTGGCTTTCACTTCAAATTCAAAACAGTCTCCACTGGTAACTACTTCGACGAGTGTTTCGGCTTCGGCCTCGAGCTGGGCTTAATCTGCTACCCTCTGCACAAATTCAAACCTTGTTTGCCAGAGTACCGAACACATCAACCTTCTTTGGCTGGGTACGTAGAGATCTTCCCACAAATCATCGTGCCAAGCAGGAGTTCCCAGCACATATCTAGCCCATAGTGCACTGAATTGCATCGAAGTTGCTCAGCAGCCAAGAAACCGGCCGAGGACTCGTTCAGCGGGTATGGAAGGCGGAACTCGCACAGCGGAACCGGACTGACCTGGGAGGTACCGCACGTCGCCGGCCGCCACCCGCTTCATTTGCTCCGTCATGGGGCGCCTCGCCCAGAAGGTCTCGTCCTTTCGCAGCATGGCGCGGACGTCCAACTTCTCCTTGTAGCTCCGGCCTGCGTCCGAAAAAGACGAAATGCTCAGCAAGTGTAGTTTTACTTGCGTGCTCTATATCGTAGGACTGTGTCAAAAATAGGTATTCCGTCCGTGTGAGTCGTTCTGCGCACTTGGTGTATGGCGCGGACGTCCACTTTCTCCTTGTAACTCCGGCTCCGTCCGTGAAAAACGCGTTGCTCAGCTTGTGAACATTTGCACGCCCCAGAGCGTGCTTTGAATTTATGCGTCACATCCGGTCCATTCGCTCTGAGTAGTAGCTTTGCACAAGAACTTTTGCAGAAGTCTGCAAGTAGCCGCCCAATGGATGGAAGCCACTCATTTTCCTACGTAGGCAGACTACAACATGAGTCTCTTACTTGGCGGTCTTGTATGACATCTTACTAAACTTTGACCGGCCCAGAGAAATGTCATTTTCGCAACGATCTCCCCGGACTTTTCTCAAACATGGCGTCAGGGACTCGAAGACGATCTCAAGCACGAACTTGAAAAAAGTCCTCGGTGTCCTTTGCCGAGTCTCCAAAATCGTGGGTGCAGAAGCTATGAGGTGCACCTACTTGCGCATCAGCAGGCACATGACGAGCTTTTTGCGGCTAATCCATGCAGTCACACGAAACTTATCAGAAGTGAAACGCATTTTGAGGAGCTTCGAACAAACGGTCCAGGAAAGCAAGCACAAGAAACATACTATTCCGAAAAGATCCACAATCCCGCAACCATCGTGCACTAGGGTCCTGCCTAATCGAAAACAATGAAAATCATCAAGCAAGACATGGTCTCCCCGCGCCGGCGCCTCACCGCCGTATCGCTTGTCCTCCAGTAGCTTGACGAACGAAATGTACGTCTGGTCGATGACACGTGGCGCGCCCTGGAGCTCCTCCAGCAGCGCATACGCGATCTGCGTGTCGAACACGCCGTGCAGCTTGATGCCAAACTGGAAGAAGAGGGCCTCGCTGTCGCGCTTGCAGTCGTGGATGATCTGCACATTTCAACGGCTGCCAATCGATGGCGGAACGGATGGTCAACAAAGAACGACCTCTTTTGTGACTGAGCGCCGGTTGCAATTTCAATATTCGCTCACTGGAAGTTCAACGCGTTCGAAAAGAGAGCGAGGGCGATGGGAAAAAGTTGATTCTTTACGGACGAGACGAAAGAGAAAGACGTGCTGAAAACTTTGAATGGCCAATTGTAGTTGGCTCTTGGCTGGAAAGCAAAGTGGCAGGTTTTTCTCGGGTGGTCTCGTCTATTCAGGTGGCGCAATGGAGGCAAAGGAAACCGTTTGTTGGCATCGTCGCCGGAGCAAAGAATTCTGAAGGCAAGCACCTCATAGCAACCTGTGACGAAGCAGGCAGCCTACGTAAAGGGGACGCGACCGATTCAGGAACTACGCAATCCAGAACCACTCCAGTCAATTGGACTTGCCAGACTAGAAATCCAACTCACCTTTTTCGCACAGGGGACCATGCATGTCACACAAGCCAGCTCTGTCTCGCCTCCTGTAACTGCTATACAATCTGGACCACCCGCACAGGGCACAAAATAGCTAAAAAAGAGAGGATGCTGAAGCCACAGAGAGCTTAGCATGAAGAAAGCTGAGGTAGAAGTAACCGGACCAGACAAAAACACAAAGCCCTTTCCGGTGACGCACCTTTGTCACGTAGGGGCTCTCCAGCCCCAGCTTGCAGGCCTTGATGAGCGGGGCGCCCCCCGTCAAAATGTCCACCAAGTAGATTGCGTCTGGAAAGGCCAGCTGCAAACACGATTGAAAAGATTGAGAGAAGGCCTTGACACTGTGTCCCCCCTACTTGATTAGCACCGCAGTCAGCAGAACAGGCAGCAGTCCAGAAGTCACAAGTACAGCACTTCACCCAGTTATTATGGTTGTGGTTGCTTAGTGAAAGTCTGCCATGGCTATCTGGTTACTGCTTGCCAGTTTACTATAAAGGTCAAGGTTGCCCTGCTTAAATGCTTGTTATACCTTTCAAGCCCAGTGGGCGGACTGAAAGTTGCCGTGTTCCAAACTGGATTTGTACGGCCATGGGCAGACCCCCTGTTCTGAAAAACTAGACTGCATCAGCACTCTCTCCTCCCGATTGCACTATGGAACAAGGTCAGACAGGCCAACAGCCTGTGGAAGAGGACTACTTGTATTTCAGAGCTGACCAAAGCTCACCTGAATGAGTGTCAAGTTTCCTTCTCTGGACAAAGACACCCCCTCACAATCGAAGCCAATTGCCACCTGCCGGTCATGGCTGGGCTCTAGGAACTCCAGAGGCAGCTGGGAAGGCTCTGTTACGATGTTGACATGCAGATCATCCACCTGCAAAAGATACTGCATGATATTGGGGATCGTTATCTCTATGCAATCTGGAGATTGTTTTTCAAAAACAGGTTACTGCAGCTTCTTTCTGTTATGTGGCTTTTTGCCCAAGCCTCATCAAAACCGGAGGAGTCAGGATCCGGGGGATACCGTGGTCCAGCCTGATCCTTGATTGCTATGACGTGGGAATCCCTTCAGTCTTCCTCTCTTCGGCCTGCCTTCTGTCTCATTTCAACATATGGCACATGTTGTTTCTATTGCATTCAAGGACACTCTGCTCCGAGGAAGGAGAAAATGGATAAGCAATTATCGTCGTAGTGCCCAACACTGTTCTGTCAGAACACTTTACCCAGACTCTTCAACAGGTTCCACAATTTGTGTGAGATTTTGCGATGCTTTTCTGCACTCTGCCTGGTCAGGGAAGTTGATCGCAGAATACTCTCGGAACGTTGCCCGTTGCTGTGCGTCCAAACAACAGAAAAGCCAAGCTCCAAACAATCCATGATTCTCTCCCCAACAACTGCCACCAAAGCCCTATATGGTGTAAATCACAAGTCATCAATTATAACAACTGAGCCCGGACAAATGAAGCGTCGAGCGGTCCCACCTTCTCAGCGGTGCTTGCATTTTCCATGTCAGCTGGAGTCCTTTCATTTCCACCTTGAGAATCTTCTGTTTGACCTGACTTTCTCGTATCTTCTGTTGCAGCGATCGATGGTGGTAAAAAGTCCAAGGAAGCATTCAAAGATGGTGCCAGTGCTTCAAGTGGGGGCAAATCTTCCAGCGGGGGGGGCGCTTCTGCTTCATGCCCCATGCTTGCCACCATTTGATTGCAGTCTGCAGTAACCAAAGTGGCTTCTCAAAGGCATTGATGCTAAGAAAAGCTATACTGAAAGCCCCGAGCAGCACCGAGGTTCCAAGCTCAATCCTGCCCTGCAAGATTTGCAAATGCCATCGCTGCAACTTGAAAAATGGATGATGAGATCACGTCTGAAAAGAGTACAATGCTGACACTTCTATATCACCTTCAGAGCTGAAGGGTGCCACTCGGTGCAAAAGCTTCAGCTCTGCTCTTCTTCAAGAGCATTGCCCTCCTTCTTCAAGAGCTCATGAGCGCAGTCTTCTGCAGAACTTAGAAAGAGGACTTCAGCAGAGTAAAGACATGAATGAGAAGCTTGCTCCAGAGTTGCTCTGAATCTGATCGCTCTGGTGCATGCAATGTGCATGCTTTATTTCTAGAACCCCTTGGAATGCCGGAATTAGGTTTCAAGGGTTTGCAATCCGTTACGCCCCGCAGCTTAACCCAAATCATGGCAAATGTACTCGACCATCTCGACGGCGAGAACGGCGACCTCTTCTGTGAGTCCACTGGACTGTCCAGAGTGACTTCTGGACGTCCACTGGAAGACGTCTCCTGGGCCTATTCTTCACACTTTTTGAAAAGCATTAGGCTTGCTCAGTTCAACTCTAGTAGTAGTAGCTGACTACATGAATTGTGATACTTAGAGCGTCGCTCATGCAATGATGCAATCGTTACTGCGAGATCTATCGTCTGCACGATCATGGATAAAACGTTACAAAAGCCTTGCTTTAGAATGCTAGTCGGGCAAGTGTATCTCGACAAGCCACACGTACTGCATGGTGCAGCCGAAAGTATGCTGTCACCTGAGAGGGGCCACAGATCAGGAGGAAAACTACCCTTAATCAAGCTGGTTTACACCTGCAAACTAGATGCCCTTCCACCGGCATCTACCAGGCGAAGCTGGTTGGTTAGTTACCCGCTAAATAGTCTTGCTCAGGAGCGATAGAGAATCGCGAAAGCAAAAACGCACAAACCGCTGTTCTAGAATTTAAAGCCGTTTCGACTCTTGAAGACCGCCTCCGAGGTGGGTCCGAATCACAGAGCTAATCTAGCAGATTTGCATAAGGCGAGTGACCGCTTGAAACTCGTTTCAGAAGACTAGGAGCTGGGTCTTGAAGGGATCTGTGGCGATAATCATTGCGGATTGTCATCTCTATCGGCGCAGTTCTTAGAGATTGTACAATAATTATTTACCTTTTGATCATTCTCCATGCAGCAACTTCGTCTCGCAGCCGTCCTTGATCCGAGAAGGTGGAGGCAACCTGTGCACGCGATCTCCCCGCCCATCAACACTTGACGAAGGCCATGAGCCCAGACTTCCATGCCGCACACACGAACGGATTGTGGCCGTTTATCTCGTTTGCAATGAAGAACATCGTCGAACTCCAAGCCAGCATTCAAACGAAATCGGCTGACATTAAGAGCGCTTACTTTATAGAAGGTTCTAGAAACGTTCATGAAGAGCCGGGTTGCTGTACAGCTCAACTAAGATACCAGCTCGAGGTGCTGTCATCTTGTGCAATTTTCGAGTCCGCATGCGGGCAAGTATACTAGCTACGTAGTTAGCTTTTGGGTGGTCAAAGCATGACGAAAGATTAATTTTAAGGTTCTGCTCAGTGTTTCGAGATAGAGGAGTGTTTCAACGATAACGGTAAAAAGTGTCTTTGAGACCAGATGTAGAGGCTTTGGGTTTCCTTCTTTTATGTACTGGGATAATGATTGAAATTAGGCAGTCTTGCAATGATTAAGCCCGATCCGGTGCCGGATCATAGCCCGTGTTAACAAGCTTAAGCTTCAGACGAAGTAGTGACCAACTTGGCAAAGCGATTTCGCTCAAATGTGCGAGTCTTGGCAAATGAATGAGAATAGTGTTTTCTTACATAGCGTCCCAGTAGTGTATCTTTAGTGCAGCTGGATATTATCATCTTATTAACCATTCTTCGCAGTTTATTACTGCACTGGGTCTGTTGCACAATGGTGCAAACGTGAACTGTTTCCCGAATGTGAATTGCGTTCTTCGATTCTTCCATCACTACGATGTCAGAAGTGACTACTACCAGAATGAAGCGTCGACCAACTTTGAGCGAAACTTGCTCCCGCTCACTGCAACTTCACAGCGGCTCTAGTTCACTTGTTCGACGAAATATGAATCAGTTCGGAGGCTCAATATGCAGAGTATAGTCGGCACCGAAATGGACTAACGTCGTGATCGTGCAAGTGCCAGACCGTAAATCTGCCACCCTCCCAAGATGCGAAAACTACCAGAGCTAGAATGCACTCCAGAGGACGCCAAACAGCGACCGAAGCTTTTCTGCTTCAATCTTGCGAACCCAACCGGTTCCTGGCGCCCCGCATTTAAGTAGAACCGCTTCGGTACGAACAACTTGTTTGCCCCTCACAACTCATAGCTGATGGTGTGCAGATCGAAGAAGGCCTCGTTCTGGGCGAAGATGGGATTGTGCGCCCGGCACTTTGCAATGACGCTTTCGACGAGGTTCCCCGGGCCACTGGCCAGGACACCGATTCTCTGGCCGGGGTTCTGCTGCGCCACTTTGAACAAGATATCTGCAAACGACGGGGAAAATGGTCCTGATTCGCGGTGTGGTGAGCAGCGTTCTGAGCGAGTTGGAAGACCGCTCAGTTGGAAGATCCACGTTCTAAAACATTTCGAGATTGGTCGGCTCTTTGAAGCAGATGGTAAGGTCCTTCAGAGATATGACTGTAGATCTAAAAAAGCTAAGAGTTGATTTTGAAACTGGGATTCGTTGTAAAGAGCCGGCCTCGACTTGAGAACTGAGCGATTCCTGACAAAGCGCTGATTCGTACTGAACGGCTCTGGTGATTCTCCCGTAACAAACAATCAGCGGAGAGCGCAACGCTGCAAGAAGTGCCCACTCACGACTCCCTGACGTCGTCACCGAATCTGTGCTAAAAGTGTGTCGACTGAACACGACATTTCCCTTGTCTCGTGAAACGCAGGGCTGGCATGCAGATCATACATGAGAAGTTTCTTAGTACTGGGCTGTTGTACTGATGAGAATCACATGATGTAGAAAGCGAGGAGGGCAGAAGAAACGGAGGTATCTGCCCACCTGCGACCACCGGACGCTGTCCGAAGTTGACGTCAGCAGTCTGCAGGAGGTTGTCCTCGCCGTCAGCGGATTCCGCCAGGATGGAGCTGGTTCCGGCGGACTTCTCGAAGCCCTCCTTGGTCTCGTCCTCAACCTTACGGTCCTCTGCAAACAGAAGAATGTAACACCACAGTTAGCGACTGCGTGTGCTTTGAGATTCCCCTCCGAAGATGGTCAAGCTTCGACAGAGGCCGATGAGGTACTCTTCTCCAACACAGGAGTTGATCGGCCTCTGGTAGCGGAATCTCTGATTGGTAAGTCGGTAGTAGGCAATGCAGACAACGATTACTTTCAAAAGAACAAGATTGCCTCGTGACCTGCGGAAATGTTTTCCTACGCGATATGCTATCCCCCACGATCCATACGGCAGATTGAAGCCTGTGGCGGCAGCTTCCAACCGAAGTTCAACTAGGTAAAGGAATTCGTTCAAAGGAATTGCCCACTAAAAAGCCCGTCGGAAAGAATAGGGATTCATGAAACAAGTTAGATATGGAATGGCTCGACACCGCGTGGTTTCCGCAGCGGATAGATATTACTGCAGATCGATTCCTCCCGGTCCTTCCTTCAGAGAAGGACACCCTAAGCCAGGACGCTGACGCTTCCAAAGAAAGAAATCAACCTGCAGCAAAAGCCTGAGACTGAGCCACTTGAATTTTTCCGCAACTCACCAGCCTTAGCTGCCGCCGCGAACCGGCGGTCCAGCAGATAGATGGCCAGCATGGAGAGGCCGCCGAAAAAGGCGACCCCTAGTATCTCGGCGCAGAGGATGATGGTCGCCCTGATCCACCACTTCATGCCGGTCTTGTTGGCGTGGGGCTTTTTCGAGTAGACGAAGAGGTGGTAGAAGGCGCCGATGAGAACGGTTGTGCCCACGAATGTAGTCAGGAGAACTAGAGAGAGGCGCCAGCCCGTGATCTGAAGGAACGGTAACGGAGTCAGAAAGTCTGCCAAGCACCAGTGTTGGAGAAAACCTTGTAAAACATTCCTGCTTCGGAAGGAGATTCCAGATCAGGCAAAGCATGCCAACGGAGAGAACTGGGTTGCTTTTCTGTTTGGGTTGCGTGCTGCATATCCAATCGATCGAGGATGGAAGGCAGAGGATGTCAGTGGAATATCCTTTAAAAGGTGACGACAGAGAGGTTCCCCCGCTAGGTCATACCATAGCGCAGGTTACCTGTTAACGCTGTCTTTTACGGTTTGACAGGACGAATGGATCCGGTAAACTGCTTCTGTCCTGGTGAGACTTCAGAGCGGACCCAAGAAGGACTTCGCATAAATGCAGAAACCTGTGGGCTACAGTTTTGGGGAAAGCTTGGGTTTGTGAGCGTTCAAGTCGAGGTCGTCCGAATCAGGTTCGACAATCAATCAGTGCAACTCAGAGTCTGGGCCGAAGACCTGTTTCTAGACTCGAGCAGATTGTGCGTTACAGCGCGCGCGCACCTGCGGGAGCATCGGCTGGACGCTGTCGTGCTCCACGGCGCCCTCCATGATGTCAATGCGCGGCTGTCCCATGGCGCTGACGTCAGTCTTCTTCCCCCGGGTGACGTAAGCGTGGACGATGATTTCGACCTTGGAGGCAAACTCGGGGCATAGCAGCGCGGGACTCAGCTCCGCCAGAGGTGCCAGCTGGCTGTAGTCGCGAACCGCCCAGTAGAGATAGATCTGTGGACCCGCGAAAATGCATCATGTGAGTCGCCCTTGCGTTAGAAAGCACGTCAGAGCGCTTCCACGTTTTGAAATCTGCAGATTTGGTGGCGGGATTGTCTAGTTCGCGACTGGTTTGAATGCAAAGTAAACTCAATGATATAAAAGGAAGAGATGACGGGCCGCATTTCCACGTTCCACGAGTCGTTACAGAGAAAGTAGCATGGTTGCCAAATGCAAATCCGTAGATTGAAAGAGTACCTTTCTGCGTCCATCCCATTTTCGGTGTCTAGCTACCCAGAGACTCAAACCGCTCTGTGATTACGAGACAGATTTCGAAGGCTTCTTGGTGTTTGACGCAGCCGTGGGCTGGAAAGATGACGCAGCAATGGATTCTCACCTTCGAGGGAAGGCCGACTTCCGTTCCGCTGTGGTGAGAGTGCAGAATGTCGCGCAGGACAGCGTGGAGCGGAACAATGCCAGACCCGCCGGAGATCATGAGAAGGGTCGGATACCTGCACAACATTACAGACTTGCATTCGATTCTATTCAAAAACTTTGCTTTTGAATGAAAAGAAACGCTCCTTTACATCCTCAAGTCTACAAGTTTGTCGTTCCCAGACCTTTGTCTGAAGACTTCCTGTCGTACCTCAGTGAATATGAGTGCAACCAACTAGTTTCACCGGACAGGTCACGAACGCCCACCTCTTGAACGAGTCACTCTCTTCTCCGTAGAAGCCGTCCGTCTTGATCAGCTTCGCGAGCGGGCACTTGGACGCGCCCCCGGGCGCCACGTGGCCGACCTTCGCCGCCACGCGGTCCGTCCAAGAGCGCCCGAGGTTTTGGGGTTTGATGTGGAAGACGAAAGAGCGCGCGCTGTCGCGCGGGCCGGAGAAGAGACTGAACGGGTGCCACTGGAACCGGGAGACGCCCGGGAGGTTCACAAAGATGAACTGGAGAGGATGGAACGCGTGGCGGGGGTGCTTGGCCACCTCGACCTGCAGAAGAAAGTGACCGGTCAAGCAAGACCGTAACGGCTCTTTTAACTGCTTCGGGAATGCTGACTGCTGGTTCACGGAGATGAACTGAAGCGGGTGGAAGGCGTGGCGCGGGTGTTTGGCGACCTCGACCTGCAGAGGAAAGTGACCGGTTAGGCAAGACCGGAACGAATCTTAAAAACTGTTTTCGGAATGTTAACTGCTGATTTACGAAGATGAACTGGAGCGTGTGGAAGGTGTGGCGCGGGTGTTTGGCGACCTCGACCTGCAGAGGAGAGTGAGAGGTAAGGAGAGAGGAAGGTGACCGGAAGATGACCGGAAAGGGACCGGAACGGCTCTGCTGACGGCTTCGTGACCACGCTTCACACTTTGACTGCTGGGTCGTGAAAGGAGCAGAGGTGCGTCCTTCTGTGATAAGGAAACTTGGGCGAGACTTTTTGTGGCTAAGATACAGGGGAAAACTTTCGAACTCAGCGCATTGGTTTTCGAGATTGTTTGAGGTAGCCCCTGGGGCGATCTGCTAGCAGCCAACTGCTCGTTTATGCAGAATGAGGTGACAAACCTCCCGAGTTGGACCCATCCATAACCGGTGAGTTGCATTCGAGCACTACAACGACAAACTGAGTTCTGCAATTCCAAACCCTTTTGCGAAGGAGCAGATCTTCGTAGCCAGATCACTCACCGACGTAGACACATTGAGCAACCGCGGGGGCGCATTCTCACCTGGATGCTCCCGTCGGGCATGGTCTTGGTGGCCAGCACCCGGGCGTAGCTCCACGACTGGAACACCCTCTGCATCCGGTCGAAGAAGAACAGGAAGACGCCCGGAAGAGTGAACACCAGCCCGTGCTTTTCGCCCACGTGCCAGAAGACCATGAGAAGGAACACGATGTACAGTTGGTGCACGTTGAAGAAGACCTCGAACCAGCGGCGCCTGACGTAGCCCAGTGACGTCACCCCGATGAGGAGGCCGACGGCGGTCGCGAAGTAGCCGGGCAGGTTCGCGACGTCGTAGCCGCGCCAGTCCCGCGACTGCGGGTTAAGCGCAAAAGTGGGGTTAGTGACACAACTTATGAAGGCTGCCGACGTCAGCAGACTTCGTGTGCATCTTCTGCAGGCCAAGGGTTTCAATTGTCTCCCGAGAGGTGTTGAAGGAGTCCAGGAAAAACAGAGCATTATTTGATTGTAGCAGCTCTCTGGGCGGTGTATAAATAGGCAGTGATCTCGGTTTGGGATGTCGCTTGAGACCGGCTGCCGCCTAGCCGCAAGCGGCGGCGGCCATAAGGCAAAGAAAGCTTCAAGCGTTTCTGACAGGATCAACCAGGCGCACAGACTAAGATCTTCGAGTAACGGAATGAGCAGAACGTCAGACTGCGGCGAAGGACTGAGGCCGCTTTTTGTAGAGGCAACGGAAAGGTACGGAAGCAGGATATTAGTGGAGCTCACCTTCTGATCAAAATTCTACAGAACACACGAACAAGAGGAATGCGCGCGCGCCCATCAGCTCACCTTCTGATTGAACATCCCCATCTTGTACCAGTAGGACATATAGCCGACGGTGTGCGCGAGCGTGGCCACAAACCCTCCATAGACCCAAGAGTACGAAAAGTAATACGCGCGCGCACAGCAGCTCACCTTCTGATTGAAGATCCCCATCTTGTACCAGTACGACATGTAGCCGACGGTGTGCGCGAGCGTGGCCACGAGCATCCAGAAGGCGAACCAGCGGTGGTACCGCACCGCGCGCTCGAAGGGCATCTTGATGAGGCGCAGCAGCGGCGAGTCGCGCGCGACGGGGAAGAACAAAAAGTTGACCAGCATGAAGGCGGTCCAGCCAAACAGCTCCGACATCTTGGACCACTCCGTCTGCCACCTGTAGGAGGTTAAAATTCAAGGTTAGTATTTGGGTTTGTGGGTTTTTTTGGTTATGAGATTTTCTGAGCAGAACACAGGTTTAACACTGACCAGCATGAAGGCGGTCCAGCCGAACAGCTCCGACATCTTGGACCACTCGGTCTGCCACCTGTAGGGGGGTAAACGTCAGGGTTAGCATTTGAGTTTGTGGGTTCGTTCGGTTTGTCGTTCTTTGGCACAAGGGCGGCGAAAGGCAAGGATAAGGTTGAGTAAATCAGCATGAAGGCCAGTCAGCTAGCGCGCGGCAAAGGACCAGTCGACCTGCCAACCGCTGAAGTAAGATTAGATCCAAGATTATGTTCCCTTTTGGATTAAAAGATGGGGTTTGAAAGTTTGTTGACCAGCATAGATTTGGCGGTACTCCAGCCGGGATCGTAGATGGCATTCCGTGCAGAGAATCCAGATTTCAGCAAGTGATCCAAATGAGGGGAAAGGCGGGTAACCTCTCAAAACGTACTACTCACAGAACCGTTATGTCCGAGGGCCAAGACGACAGACTTTCTTTCCAAGTAAAGGTTTCCTGTTTTCCATAGAAGCACGAGCATGGTGCGCGAACTTGGAGTCCGTTTGAAAAGGCACTGAAAGGAATCACTGTAGGGTCAACTGGTCCTTCTCGATTAATTTAGAAACTTTCTGGCAAGTCATCATGCTACTTACTCCATGTAAAGACGAGATCGAGAGACTTACGCGGGCGGTGGCGGCTTCTTCGGTTTGACGGTGGGCACCCTGTGGATCTGCTCGAGCCTCTTGCAGTACGGGACCACGAACTGCCAGATCAGGAACGCCGCAACGTACGTCCACCAGAACAGCTCCCATACGCGGATGTCCTTATACACGGGGAAGGACCAGATGCGATACGCGATGCTCGGGGGCTTGGCCCTGTAACAATAGCACCAATTGCTCAGTCACGGAAGCCTCTCCATCTTACAAGCTTGCAAGAAACACGTCTAGAGAATGAACAGGCTCGATTCTTGGACTGCGTCAGAACCCCAGCTTGAGTGGTGTCAGAAAGATTCATGACGAGATAGCCCACTGTGTGTCCAGCAAAGCGAAAGAGATCTCGACCGGGATTAAAAGACAGCGGTAATCATCAGACTAAAAACTTTCCCTGAGCAAAAGGACTCGAGCAGCAAATGCACGGAATGGATGAAACCCCAAAGACGTTAAAGACGAGAGGGTTCTCGGACAGTACACACTCATTGAGAGCCTCCCAGCAGCGAGTAATCTTCGGACCAGACTCTCGGCCTCTAAACGAAAGGTATAGCGTAAGCGATGCAGGGAAGATTGAAACGCCAAGAGAGCTTTGAACCTTGGTTTCTCCTCCTAGTGAACGATAAGGAAACCTTGCTTAGATTAAGGGGGTTTCCGGACACTACTCACTCCCTGAGAGCGTCCTTGCTCGTCCGAGGAGGATTGGGCAGGCTCAGATACAGTGGTGCAAGGATGGCAATGAGAACGATGGGGACGAAGTACAGAATGTAGTACACATCTGCAAAGCAGAGAGAACGGAAAATGAGTCTCATGTTTGTAATCTGCTGTGGAGAGTTGTAGTCCGGAAGCAGAAACTGATTGCAAACAGAACCAGATAGCTTATGCGAGGGGAAGTAATAAGGTTTTCAAGGAAGAAAAAGGACTTCCGAACAAGGCGGAGGGGATATAGCGGGTCTTCTGAGAAGCTTCCTAAACCAAACAACCAGTTCGAGACGAATTTTTTGCAGAGCTCAGTGAACCCGTCCTCAACAGGTATCTACATAACGCAGTGATGGATAAGCTGAGTCATGTAGGACAAATGTTCTGCAGTCTGCACGTACACTTCTGAAGTATTCAAGTAGCCTACCTTCTTTAGGCGAACTGCAATGCACTTCACATAATGGCAATCTTACTGCCCCGCAGCTTTACGAAAGTGAGACGACCAAGAAGGTATTTCGTTGTCAAGTAAAGTTCACAGGGGCAGAGGCAAGCTTCCAATCATTACAAAAGAACTTCTTTCAATCAAAAACTTTGAAATTGAGGGATCAACAGAAGAGTGAGGAGAAAGAGAGTGAGGTTTGACCAAGTTAGAGTCCAGAGCAGCCTGTAAGCCTGTACTATCTGCCCTTGATCGCCCAAGAAGAGGTACTCTCGCATCAGAGTTGAGCTCACCATGAAACCACCGAAAGTCAACAGAGACCGACTTGGCTTTTCCACCTCTTTCAAACCTCTTACCGGTTCCAAAAGAGCTTTATGTTGGTGTTTTCATCTGTGCTGGAGTAGAAAAAGAGCACCCTGTGAAGTTTATGTTTCGCATCAGATCATCCAAGCACAGACACTTTGCACCAGTACTGTTGAGCTCACCGTAACCATTGAAGTGCCCAGAATTGAGAGCCGTCTTCCACTGCTTCCCCACCAAGTTTGCGCCGAACCAGACGGTCGAGTCCGCCCACCAGAAGAAGTTCCACGCCAGGAAAAGGCCCCACATCACAGCCAGCAACAGCCACCGCAGCGCAAGGACCCCCATCCCGGAAGCTGCCTGCGCCGCCGGGGAGGCGCCAAGCTGAGCCTCCTTCATGCTGACGTCAGCTGGCTGGCTGACCGCAGGCCGAACTGAGGAAGTGCGAATCTAAAGGGAACAGATCCGGAGAATGCGAGGGTCTAGGCAAGACGGCTGTTTATGTAGGGACCTAGGAGATTGAGGGACGGCAGCAGGCCCGAAGCACTCTCGATCAGTTAGTAGAGCCAGCTGCCTAATTGATGATCAATCATTATATGGACCTGCACTAGGTATTCACGAGGCGGAAGCAAGCGACGCAGTTACCTGCTTGACACTTGTGTGGATTAGGTAGATACAATGGCTGACCACTGTGGCTTGTGCAGATGTACCGGTATTAAGAACGTGTCTATTACTTTCAGTACTGAATCGGAGCGCTCAATACAGGCAGTTCGCACAGCTAGCTCGTAGGTACCGGTATGTCTTCGTGTGCGCTCCTCGGACTAACGTAATGGTGAGCACACAGTGAGTGCGTGTGCCGCGGATCATGCTCGCCGGCCAACTGGTTCTGGCCACGCGCCGAATCCCTGGAAGTGTCGACATCTCGGAAGCTCAATTATTGCAAATACCGTCGGCGAAGTTGGCCACGTGTAACGATTGGATTCGTCGACGCGTCGGAGGTCCTGGCTTTTTGGGCTCCGGCAATATAGCTGCGTCGCGCGTGCCGCGCAGGGGGGCGCCCGGTGATAGTCACCGGGCCCGCACACAGGTGACAGGAGTGAGCACACCCCGGACGGCGCGTGAAGACGGGCGGGCCTCGGCAACAGAAGAGATCACTGGCCAGTTCATCCAGCACACGCGCGAATTGCGAGCGAGCCTATTATGATCAAAGTGCCGTGGAGATTCCGAGTCGCACCAGCCACCTTGAAGGTTTTCTGATCTTCTCAATTCGCAACAGCATCGATCGACAATGTATATAATTGTCTTGGCGTAAAATAAACTGCTTTAATATGAGGTTTCTCCCTGAGTTGCTCCTACCAAGGCTGCAAATATTGCACTTAATCAAGTTGTATTTGCATCTTCGCACCAGCCGGCTGCATCAAAACTCAATTACGTACTGGAGTTTATTCTTTCGCAAGGCCAGAAAATGCCCAAAAAATGGGTCAACAATTGCTGCAGTGCGAGACCTTACGACGACCGGCAGGTGGCAGCAGAAAGCGCCGCCCTGATAATCTTATCCTATTATCCTGCAGCTGCGGTTTCAAGCAAAGCAGGTTCAGTTTGAATGCGATGATTGGTGGACGTGTAGGTAGAACCGTAAGAAAGCTTGGCAGATCATTGGCCGCTGATCAGCTTTCCACGACTCAGAAAAATGTGCACTCCACCCGCTAGGATTCTCCCCAATACGTCACGGAGAGTACATAAGGTGACGTACTACTGTCTGGTTTTCTGACAATATTCGAGGACGTCCGAGCGACTTCCTCGGGTCCTTTCAATCTGGGGTAAGAGACCCGGTTCCCTATCTTAGCCTCTCCGACTTTCTCTTGGCGGGGGTGGTGTGGAGGCTAAATTTGAGACTTGAGTCGCCCCGGCCATCATCAAATTAAGCCCACGTATGCTGAACATATTTTGCCCAAGCTTCTAATTGAAAAGCACTGACAAAATTCCCTTCGCAATTCCGTCTTCAGGGTCCGACGATACTTTGAAATACAAATTCTGGCAGAAGGATATATATCCAGTGGGCGATAGATTTCGAAGCAATTATTAAGCTGGCAAGCTGTATTAGTATACGTATCTCTGTTCCATCAACTGCACCGGGCCCGTTCAAAAAGTCGCAGGAAACGTATGTCCAAAGATGCCACTGTTGATTACCAGGGGAGTTTGGTGGCTCTATTTCACTGGAAGGGTTGGTCTTTTTTCGTGAAAACGTTCCCCCTCCTGTGATTGGTTCCGGGTGCTCACCAGACCTCCACACCCCCCACCTGGAAGACGGTATGGACCGGAGTTCTGACGTACGCGACTTCAAAGGGATGTTGACAGGATGCCCCTCGGACGTCCGATTGCACTCTGGAAGAAACTTGAAAAATGACGAAGTTGAAGCGTTAGGCTGTCACCAATTCTGATCAACTTGGCATGCGGAGTTCGTGAGATCGACTTTGATTGGTGCAAATTGTGGAATTTGTTCTCCATTCGCACCAGCGAAGTAGTACTCCTATCAGATTGAACGAGGATCAAACGTCCATACAAGTTTCCAGAGAACACGAGGGCAAGCGTAGATTGCCTGCCTTGAGTTGCACGCCCAAACTTGCAAGATCAATCTTGTCATTCTAGATTGCTCAGGTGAATAACGGATACTGTTTTGACCTACGCTCGGAAAAAGGGCTTCCGACCGGTTCGTATCTTAACAAGACCACCAGATACTTCTCTCCTCTAGTTCCTGTCCCGGTGTTTGCTCTCTTGCTTCCACCAGTTTCTCGATAGCTGTCCTCCTGACAAAATTGGCGCGCGCGGCAGCTTTGATGCGCGCGTTCTTTTCCCCTGCTTGGACGGCAGATCTCTTCTTTAAGCGTCGAACGGGGGGCATGGCGTGACATGTGTCACCCGGCGACTGGTCCCTGGAAACTCCGCCTTTTGCAGTCGCCCAGACGAGCCGCGTGCATCAGATCCGC